AAATCAAGTGTTGTCACGAAGTAATTTTTCGTAGTACTGACACCCGTCCACCTCTGTCCCATAAAAACCGTACCTTCCACGGGGATTTTCATGTTTAATACAACGTTCAGTGCGGGCACAGAAGTATTTGAAAAGCCCCTAATTCTGACACCTGTGGTTTGAGCGTTTGTAGATCGAAGCTCAGCAATGACTTATGTCAACGTCGAGTGCAATTCTCATCGCCTTCTGTTCACAAAGGATCATCCGTTTTCAATTTCCCCTCCGAAAACATTGAAGGATAAGCCGGTGGAAGATATATTTGTACTGATAACTGACCTCCATCAGTTTCCTTTAAAGTCCTCCCATTCTTACAAGTGGCACAATTATCCGCTTTTTTCGGCACGCTGCCCTGTTACGCTGCTCACTCACGGCGGTCTAAACAGCTAGTACATTGCTGTATTGCCGCTATGCGACGAATGTATCATCCACTCTAGACTACCAAAATGTGTTTTTTCTGGGTTTCATGATTGCATGTGCCCAACAAAGACTAAGAATTCTTGGTTGGCCTCAGCGTCTGCCAAGATCGTTTATGATAGCCTTTAGATTTAACTCGGAAATCCATGCATAGGTGACAAAATTAGAGTGCCAAAGTTAAAGAAACAGACATCGAAAGGACAGAATGGCCAAAGTTTAATTCAGAGACGAAGCGTGTCACTTCTAGCTTCTACAAACGTTGATGGTAAAAAGATAAGATCTGTATAGATATGGACTTATATCCTTCACTATTTCCCATTGTCCGTTGATGTTAGTCTTTTAACTGCTCGAAAGAAAATCTTAAATGTACTTTGGTTGTTTCTTCTTTTATTCAAGTGAGTAAATCGCTGATGCTACATGACATCATAACACAAGTAACCTTTTCAGTCATTTCCGATGTTTGTTTGACCACTTTAAACAACCGTTCGTGGGTACGCCGAGGAGGCGATTGTAAATCAGCCACATGGAATAGACTATTTTCTACCGGGTTGCTTATCATCATATTTGCCCTCCTGCGCTTACGACGTCCAGGTGAACCACGCCATGTTCAGGAAGAAGATATGTGCTGGAAATGTTCGCCAAAGTTAAGTACTGGGTTCTCCTAGTTCCTTATTTCACAAGGCGACTTGCCTCCACAAGCATCTTCTGCCAGTGGCTTGAAATGGGTGTTGATGGAATAATGGAAACCCGCCTAACTGAATTCAACGTCCAAAATCAGTGTGTCACTAAGTTCCACGTCTGAAAACTTACACAGACGGGCAGTAGAATAGAAAATCAGGTCAACAATGAACTAGTCTGCAGTTTCACGCCATGATCTTGAGTGGATATTGGGTTTGTGTTTGAAAGACCAATAAGGCAACCTGAACGAAATTTGTGGTGACAGCAGTCCGAGCCTAAACAACTCATGGAGTAAATGTTGCGTCTGATATCTGTCCTACTGTGCTGAATTTATTATTTCTGAGTGGTTCCTCATGGATTCGTAATAGAGCCTGGTACAAGTAAACGAAGAAGCTAGTTACCTGATATATTTAAAGTTTAATAAGTTGTCATAATGTCACTTCTCAGTCACACATGTTACAAGGGACATAGATCCAGGGCTGCCATGCGTTCATCATATGGCCTGAACCCCGGTCTGCAAAAGGATTTAGAGCGGCATCTGTAGATGGGTACCAAACGGTTCCTATCGTTTTGAACTGGGGGAAGGGTGGAAACTATAGAGATAAATCTTAAATGAAGATGATAATCTAATTGTGTAAGGTACTTTGGTCCACTTTGAACTTTGAGGAGAGTGTATTGAATTTGTTTTGATTTCCAATAGATGTAGACTGGTTTCCGTCCGTCAGGATACCTGTCAAACACTGACACGATGTCAGTGAGCTGAGGTTATCTTTCGTTATGAAGGAACACGCTGTCTTTGACTCCCCATGAATTTGTCTTGCAGGAAACGTAGTGGAAGAGCATCCTGTGGGAACCCAGTAATTGTTTCAGCGAAATGGACTTCTAGATGGGTTGAAAACAAGTACGTTCACTAGAACTTCACCATCCTCCCTCGACCGCGTGTGGAAATCTCAATTATTACCCTTCCTCCTTCACTTCAAAAATGTGAGAACTGGTTCCAGCGCACTAAATGCACTGGAGAGTAAGGTTTAAAGCACATTAGAAACACACCTTTAAACATTTTCTGCACGCTTCGAGGTACTGATGACTAAGGGACCATCTCCTGATGACTTGTAGCGTCTGAATGCACTCAGAGTTTTGTGCCATTAAACTTACGCAAGTCTAATCTGCGGGGATGATCTCCCGAGAAGCAGTGTAAGTCATGATTTGAACATACGGCAGTGGATGTTTAGCCTGAGATTCAAGCACTAAGAACGCTTTGTAATACTCTTCTCGTATACGCGATTCGGTCTACTCGATAAGAATCCTTCAAAATGCGAAGCCCATACCCAATATAGGTCTCATTTTGAGCTGACGGGTAGATTTGCAACTTATCTAGTTTTAAAATGCAAACAGAATTGGGCAATAAGCAAAGCGTGAGACGGCTTACTTTCTGTTTATCCGGACGCTGCTTAGAGGCGCCAAGTGTGGAACTTCGCGTTACGTAAGCCTTGAGATGCTGTTCGGTTAACTTAATAATCGTGCTTATTAGTTTACGTGTAGGTTAATAATTCCTTCTAAATGAGCGTCGCCGAATGCTCGAGCATATATATATATATATTTATGACTAATATATTCATTTAAGCAGAGATGAAAACTAAGCAGTCACAACAAGCAGTCGGTATTCTTAGCATTAAAAGGTCATTTCAAAGATGAGCCTATATTATTGAAGTCAGTAGATCTACTCGAGGAATGGCAAGCTTATTGTATTTTAGGTGTTACTCAGTTTATCATTGACCCTCCGCGGACAAAGGCGTAGGGTGCTTTTTGACATTTTTGGGTAAATCCTGAAGTCAACTTCGGGCGCAGCTTAGAATTTCTGGGTACTTATCCCAAAAGTTATGCAATCAGTTGCACATCGCGTGTACTGCCCCAAAGAATACGTATATACAAGATGTATTGCCGTACACTATTTGCTACCTCTTATAAAGTCTAATTTGCTTAACTTTGGGCGCATTGGAAACAATTTGGGTAATTCAGGTAGACCTACGTACACTTGGGTAAACTGCAAAACATTTGGGCAAAACCCGAACTTCGCAAATGACCTTGAAATGGTAACGCTCTCGTACAGCTCATACTTTAGTCATACTTTTAATTCACTGATATCATAGTATTGTGAGATTGATCAGATCTACTCAGAAGTCTACACACTTACTTTCAGAGCTATGTGTTTCCCAAGTTGTATTCTCCAGGCATTTCTGAGAATCATCTGACTAGAATCATCTGCTTACCAGCGACTGAGTTAACGAAATCAGCAGGAATAAGCATTTTTCGAGGAATGTACCTATGAAAATTAGTATGTTTGTACCAGTAGGAGCTAATGAACACTTCTGACATCGGTCCACAAAATATCCGCAATAAGCGAAGTCCCATAGTTAAATTCAGACATTTTGCTAGCTGGAGTTCCACTTTGTGGATAATAAGTTTAAAAACGGTGTATTTCTACAGAATTGACGAATGGTGTCGGGATAGAATTGTAAAAGCAGTACATATAGGTTATTTGTTGCTATATTTATTGGTCAGTGTCTGAGCAATGTTATTGGTTGTTAGAAGTTATTTTGACAGTTGTCGGTTGATGTCGCCCTAATTTGCGGTTGACAAGGTATGATGAATTTACCAACAATTGTACAGCCTATACAAATATTTGTCTTACTGCGTTTTCGTCACAAAAAGACAATCAGCAGTGAATAGGTAGATTTACGTATTGGCTAAACGCGATTGGAGTTTTTGCATAGCCTATGTAAGATACTCGTGAAGCGTCAAACTTTTATTTTCGTGGTCCTATGATATTGAGATTTTGAGTTGCCAACCTCTTCTAACATCCTAAACGAAATGACAGTGTATCCTGGAATCGGAAAAATACTTAAGAATGCTGATCATATCAACAATCTTTCTTTAATCCTTTTTTCAAACTTTATCCTCAACTTCAGAATTTCCTACATCACCTCCCAGTGGTGCATCGTGGAGCTATCAATCAAGTATATGTCAAGCGCCCATATCATCGACACTTTCATGTTTGGCGGTGACAGTAAGACAGGTAACCAGCAAGTCAACGTAAAAACTGACACAAAAGCGTGTCAGTTATCTTACTTCACGTGTTAAGATAGAAAACATGAAATACTAGTAAAGGAAAGTTAACCCACTAAGAAAGCTTAAATAAATAAATGTTAGTGAAAATGTTGAGGGCTTTAAAGATGGCAAGGTGTTTAAATAACTACAGTGTGATAGGCGTTCGGGGGCTGAAGTCATTTTTCTAGTTTGAAGTGTGATAGTAGTGTGTTTCTCAAAGACGACCTGCAGTTCCATCCTGATAGTGCCTTCATTGTGGCAACAGGAGGGTTCGGCAAAGGTCGGCGCTGAGAACAGCCCACTCTTTGCCCTGCGTTATCCCGGTAATGGGATTAGCACAATCCATTTCCAACCGAACAATCTTGAGAAGGCTATGTGTGATAAGCCTTAAGCAGATGTCCCATGGTCTCTAAAGTCATTGCAAAGCTAATGCCTTTTTCTTTTGAGTTACTTTTCAGAATTAAATCTCACAGTTCGGGCAGCCGGAAAGTAGTAACCACGTGAAGGCTTTCAGCACCATTCAAAATCCAGTTAACTGTCAACAACCTTTCTCGCCAGTATCACGCGCCTTACTTTCATCTCGTGATATCAATATTATGTCGTTACAGCTTCCTCAATCTCTAATCCCGTGACTATTACTAGTGAAGTACCATTCCTAGTCTCCTAACACCTCACGTTCAGTTTCAAATTGAAGCTCTCAACGTACAAAGCCTATTCTAAATCAGATAACAGACGTCTCTTGCCGAAACTGTGGAATCATAAGCCATAGGTGAATCTCGTGTGTCTGAGACTCAGATGCAGGATAAAATGTAGTTATTCACTTGACCATATCTAGCCAAAGTGGTGGATCCTCAGAATTCACTTCACGAGCGTCCGGACATTCAGTGGCTAGGTCTTGTGAATTTTTGGTGTATGTGTAGCTTCGAGTTACTGAGCAGAAGTCGCAGTTATCGACTGGTTACCAGTCAAGAACTGTTTGTGTACTATCCGATTAAATGCATAGGTAAGGACTGGGAAGCGTCGTGAGATTTACTGATGCTTCGTAATCTTCACTCATGCCTACACCAAGCTGTAGTTTGGATGATACAAAGGATGAGTTTTTGCAAAGCTGTTTGCTACATAGAGCAAAGTGTTCAGATATACACACGGTTGCAGGGGACTTTAACGCTCAAGTAGGAAAGCTGAGCCAATTAGAAACGGGTTTTGGAGTTATCTACAGAATCTCATTTCATCAAACCGACAATGGTGATCTTATCTTGGAATTTTGTTCTGACAATCACTTGTTTCTGGCCAGCACTAACTTCAAGCATAAGTAGAGACACTATCTCATATGGCATCCACTGACATCAAACTAATGATGGATACAGATAGATGATATTGCTATGGGCCATCGTTGAAAAGGGTCAGTGGAGGATCGCTTCTCTTTCTTATCTGTTTAGGGTCCGATCACGCGCCAGTACGATAACGTGTATATCTGTGTCTTACTGGTTGCAGAAAACCGGCGGTAGTTAGGCCTGTTTGTAATCGGTAAGAAGGGGAGAAAGATGACTTGTGCATTTACGGAAAAGATAGCCTCGGATTTATCTGAACGCGACAGCAATGCTCGTCCTTGAGGAAAGCTGGTGTAATATTAGGTGTACTGTACCGATAGCGCTCAAAACAATTAATAACCTGCATCCATAGATTAGCGAACGTCAGTGGATTTTTGCAGTCATCTGAACTCATTGATACGAGAGTACTGCACAATTCCACCGACTCACAGCAACGCTTCAGTTGCCTAACATCCAGCCTGGATGTTAATGTGACATAGGTGTTGATAATCCAACTCTTCTCGAAGGTAAGAAGGCTGTCTCAAACCTGAAATGATTCAAAACACTAGGACTTTGCAGTTTGCCACTGAGAGTTCGCAAATATGGAGATAGGAGTAGAGTAATAGAGGTACTAGGTAGTGTATGGGAGTCAGAGGCAGTCCAGACGGACTGGTCTACTTCACTGATCATTCCAATCTATAAGGAGCGAGAAAAGTCCTCTTGTGACAACCATAAGGGAATCAGTTTGACCACTATAGCGTTGGAGATCTTAAGGTCCTTGTTATCCGACTCCTAACTAGTGCTCAAGAACAGCAAATTCGAGAAAACTAGACGAGTTTCAGACCTGGACGAGGGTGCATCCCTCAAATCTTCGCCCTTTCGTCAGATTATAGAACCCAGTTATACTAACCGGTGGCCGACACTTCCGCTAATTCTCGACTTGAAGACGTCATTGCATTCTGTTAAACAAGTGGCATTGTGAGTATTTGATTGTGAACGCAGTATCGAGCAGCTACGTAGTGATAAACAAACCTCTGTACTCAAATTCATTCAGCCGTGTTGCCATCATCTGAGCTGACGAAAACTAGTGGTGTCTGTTAGCTATACCCACTATTCCTGTTTAAGTTCTTTACAATTATAATAATGGACGTAACCTTAGGTACGCCTTACTTCACAGGGACTGGTCGACTCCCTGCAGGGTATCTGGTTTAACTAGAGTATGCAGACGATATCATTTTCCTAGGTGAAGATGCTGACAAAATGTACGGTCTAAATGATTTTAGCAGAAATCTGAGTATTTTTGGCGTGCGTTTCGCACCTGTCAAATGTAAAATGATGCTCTAGTACTGGTCAGCAACTACTCTCAGCTTAATGATAAGGAGTAAAGAGGTCGAATGCGTTTGGAATTCGCCAAATCGTGTCATCTCGGGGACTGACTGGCGTGATATCCGATCACTTATTAAAGACGGAGTATGCTGTGCTGCAATGTTTTGTCTTTTTATGGGCCTGTGTAAAATGACGACAGTTGTCTTCGCAGTATTGTTTATGTAAGGTGGAATCAACATGTGAGTAATATCGCGGTTAGATTAAGTGTACCAGAAAAGGAAGGCATGTCAGTCAATGAGGTTGTGAATATTAGTCTACTGAGATGACTTAGACATGTACTGTGCATGCTGAGCCACAACCTACCTCTATATGCCATGCTACGGGAAGTTGGGATAGGTTAGAAGATGGTTCAGGGATGCCGAACCAAGACGTGGCAGCAGCCCATGAAGTCTCTTCCTGTTGGTATGAGCCGCGTAAAGAGGTGTGGACTACCTGCCTAGGGTCCTTGATATGGTGGGAATCAGTGGTTGAAGAATCTTGTTGACATGGCTGGAAATCGGCCATAATGGCACAGATCTATTAACTCTGATACCTTCTAAGGCTTGGGTTTTTGCACTAACTGCTATCTTAAAATTGTTTATTCTCTCACACTACTTTATCTTTTTTGATATCAGTCATTGTCTATCCACCCATTCTTTGTATACTACTGTGAAGTGTGGCAACTTGAGACGATGCAGTTGTGTGCGCGGTTCTACGTTGATTTCGTCAGTCAGTCAATTTGACGTTCATATCCTATCCAACCTGTAGATACATTAGTTAGAGATAAAGCATGAGTGAATAACCGTTAATCTGCTTTCTAGTGTCTCTCCTCCTTCCGAGTACTTGTTCGCAAGGCCAGTCAACCAGTTCCCTCATGAATAGCTCCATTAAGCACTGCATTTTTTGGAACCATCATTCTTGTGAAGGCAAACAGCTATCACTTATCATCTGGCAGTAGAATCGATTTCCGAAGTAATGCTGAATACATACCTTATGAATTATCTAATACTAACACCAGAAGTATGTAAAAAAATGCTGTTATCAGTGGAAACGAAAGAATAGGAAGCAAGAGGCAAGAGGTTTCGAAAAATGTACGACTGCCTAGATACGATTGTGGACAATAAGTTGTTCCTGAAATGTCATCCAGTAAGTAATGCTGTATTAGTATTGTATTTAAAGTGAACCAATGTGATATAAAATAAGATAATGTATTTTTTGAATAATGTGACCGAAACTCAGTTTGATTTATGCTTGTGTAAATTCCATGTAACTGAATAAATTCAGAATATCCTTTTCTGTTTTACTTTTAGATGATGGATTATGCCTCTGTAATGGGTGCAACAAATTACAATGGTGTAGATCATAAAGATGAAACTGTATCTACGTTAGAAAAGTTATCTAAGAGTGAACTTGAAGCCTTATTAACGGATCATGAGGGAATTAAAAAGCTAGCAAAAAATAGTCCAGAGGTAAAATGCAAAATATCCAGCATATCAACGTTTTCATTTACACATTAGATTAAAAAAATTGAGGCCGATAAAGAATCTTGTATGATGGAAAATAGACGTCAAGCTGAAACAAATTTAGCCATGGAGCCTACATTCAATATGAAGAAAACTGAACTAGTCGAAGCTTATTCTAATTATAAACAGCTTGAAACACAGTATATAAAGCTCAAATCAGAAGTTGGTAAGTTTTGTATCCCTCCACCTACTTTCTTGCACTGTATACTTTTTTCATTAAAGATAGTATCGGTGCAAAATATTCGCCGAGTGTAATTCTTGCTCTTCTACAGACTGCTAATGCTGAGGCTGAAGAACAATCTGAAGTAATATCAGTTTCTTTTTACTTGATGTTTTCATAACCTTTTGGTGTTCTTTTGTTTAGGAATTAGCCGGTCGATTTCTTGATAAGTTAATGGATGTTGATACATTTTTGAAGGATTTTATCCCGCTTCGTAAATTATGTAATGAACGTAGATTTAAATGTGAGAAGTTAGCAGAACACTTATCAACTGGTTATACAAGTGGATCAAACCTTCCCAATACCCAACAGCCGTCTTTTGTGCCCAATGTGATGAGGATGAGGAATACAGAGTCTTATGGTGGTACATCACAACTTTATCCATCATTGTTATCTCTGGGTAATAATAGCAGTAATACTTCATCCTCAACTTATGGCTTTAATATTTGAACATATGTTTACACATGCTTCCATGAAATCAACCCCAGTTTGACCAAAAATAATTTTGATCATCTGTTCTTCTTGCACATATATATACACACAAATACATTTTTCTTCAGGAAAATTACTTAAGACGTTGTTGACTGTACTTTTCCGTCAAAGTGGTATAAAACAAAAGACAGATATAATTCCGTACTGTGACTATACTGATTATTAAGATACTCTTCATTTTCACTTGTTAAGAGTAGTCAGTGAGAACTTAGGATTACTACAAACAAGTTCTTTTCTTTCAGTCCTTCTTTCATGTATTATTGAGGGGGAATTAAACTACTTGTCATTCACTCTATTCATATCCATATTGTAAAAAAAGTTCAACACTTCAGTCCTTTCTTTTTTTTTTCCTTTTCAATTTAGTAAGAGTTTTACTCGATATATTGAAATGTATATTCTTGAAAGTTCCATCACCAACAGCGTCACTTCAAATTGCGTATCTATTTTAAATAATAAACTTCATTAATTTTAAGCAAATATTCGTAGAAAACTGGTACAAACCGAAGAATCATTAAAAGTTTGGAAGCAGGAGAACATTTGTTTCATTTCGATATAAAAATTGACAACAGTTCATCGTCAATATTAATAGAGAGTACAATAAACAAATACGTAAACTGTTTAGCAAAGATTTCTTTGGTTTCAGTCCTCTTCAAAAATATCTTATGCTTTCAAAAAATATTAAGATGGTTTTCTTTTCTTTCGAAACCATTAAGATTGTGTCTACTTGTGTATTTTTGGATCTAAAAACTTACTTGTTTTGTTCTTACATTGGATTACTAGGTGGTGAATGATGATGTAAAATTATCTGAAAAAGAAAGTAGTAAATAATTTGCGATTTGATCATCAGTTTTATAATATGCCAGTTCGCTGGTTTCAACCTACGTAGTTCAGTTACTCAGAATTATTCAGCTATTTTTTCCTGAATGTGTCTGAAGGCACAACTGGTAATCTTAATCTCAAGTGAGCAAAGCAGCCTCCCGTTGATCAAATGACTGTGGTCTGCTAAACGAAACTTGCAAGTCAAAATGATGGGTTTTATGAGAGATATTCTTGTTGCTCCATAGTACGAAACTTTTTATGGTGTTAAGATTTATGGCTCAGGATAATGTTTCTCATGTTTGTTTGTTAATTAGGTTAGTTCACCTACCTCAGAAGTCAGACCAACCCTGGTGGCTCAGTGACCGACGAAATCTCCGCACGAATACATGAAGTTCGATTGGCTTACACCATCTGTGGTGTCCCCGCGACATCCGATTGCCTATTGAGGGTCCAGTGTACTGTGCTGCAGTGCACTCTGTTCTTCTGCATGGGTGTGAAACACTGCCATTAAAGGTAAAGGACATGAGGCTTCTGATGTTTGACCACCGTTGCCTTCGTAGCATAGGCCATGTGTCGTGAATTCACCATATTGGTAACACAGAAGTCAGGTGTAGAGTTTTAGGCAGAAGAGGTTAGTCAGTTGATGCAGTTTTGAACCTTCATCGACTGAGATGACTGTGGCATATATTTCGCACGCTTAGTCGCCGTCTGTCTTATCATGCAATGTAAGCTGAGGTAGGTCCAGGCTGGGAAAATGTTCGGGGAAGTCCAACTAAAACATGGCATCACTTCATTAAGTCCTTGATTGTTGGTCTGAGCTACGTTGGGAAAAGCAGACTAAACGCTTGGAATGCATGTGACAACAGTAAGTGGTGATTGGTAGACTCTAAGTGATATATGTGAGAATCGATTTTGATGGCGCAGATGTATCCACACTTTATCTTAACGGCTATACAGAACTCAGTATTTTCTCCTCCTTCCTCTTTTTTTGATTTCTACTACTTTTGACCGTTATTTTTTTCTTTCTTCGTTTTATTGCTTGATGTCCTGGTGTGGGGTCTTGAACCTTTGTGCAGTAATACCTAGCCCTATGTTGATATTGGTTGGATTGAGTTAGTCTGCTGATCGATGTCCCACTATCGCATTAGTACACGTGTTCAAGGACAGTAAATGTGAGGAAATTCTTGAAAATGTTCCTTGTTTGCTTATGATAATTATGCAATATATCAGACTTTCGTATAAGAACATGTCATATTAAATAGTTGGTGGTTTTTTTCGCTGTCGATACACAATGCATAGACTGAATACCTCTGGACTTTCAAACACATAATATTGTGACATAAATGTCAAACGTCTTAAAATCTGATGTTTGGAATTATTTATGTCTATGTGATCTACAGCACAGATCGTATTCTTGCCTTGCGCTTGCATTCGATTTCATTTAGATGCTCAGTGTGTTTATAACATAATTTAACTTGAAATACATCAGTTTCAGTTTACTGTAAATTCGAAAAAACGTATAGTATGCGTATCTGACTCAAATTTAAAAGATGGATTACAGAAAAATCTTCATAGTTTTTAATACTCCAAAAACCGCTTATGATAGTTTGAAAATAAGAGTTAATGCAAATCGCGTGTATTAACGCATTCACAAAGCAAATAGGCGGAATATATTGATTATCCAACTTAAAACAAGGTAACAAGTTGAAAACATTTGTTACCCGATACAAATTTAAAACAGTCAACGAATGTGAAAAAAGAAACAGGATTTTATGAATTCATAAGTTTCTGTAGAACACGTCAGCTGGATACTCTACATACTTGATTATATATACTGTTAAACAATCCAAAAGAACATACACACATATGATGTAGAGTGAGACAAATTTAGGTGTAAAAACACAGAAATGGACAGTTTTTACAGGTCAAGTGGTAATACAAAGGGTAGAAATGGACGTTCAGAGAAACCGGAGGACCTTTAAGGGTGGAATCTGAAAGTTATTGTTCAAGCGATCACCCATACATAACTAAGGTTATAACAAGTGACAACAAGGTTATAAGAAATACCAACTTGACAGCTGTGTATTTAAATAAATATGCATGTTTCATCTGGAGATAGCTCTCATAGGAGTGTAATATTAGTTGTGAAACCAATGTAAAAACAAGTTGTATTAGATAGATGACTTGGACATAAGTCTTACACTTCTCAAAAGTGAGTAGCTGCTAGTCCATATGACATCGAGCTGTATGCCATCATACCTAGAAGGTTAGCAAGTGAAAATGTGACTTCTTTTCGGATTCAAATGATCAACATTCTCAAAATTCAGTAAGTTTATAGTATAGCAGAAATATAATTAAACGCTATCTATAGGCATTTATAGCCAATTCCTGTTTATTTAATCACAGATAACACAGCTTGCCATTAGAACGGTTGAATATTTAGCATGAAGTCAGTTGTTAGTGAGTAATGGTTCATTATTCGATTGAGAAACAAACAGCCCTAAACTCAAATGGAAAAGAGATCAAAAGCTCTTCATTTTCTCATGGTTCCATAGCCTGTCAATTTGTTATGAAAACTCTATAACTCAGTTAGTTCCCCAGGAATCATTCAAGTAAGTGACAAGTTCAAACTCTAAGAGCTTTATAGAGAAGTACCCATAAGAGGAGCTGTGAATTTATCCCTACTCACTAAAAATATCCATTCATGAATTGTTAAAAAGGGAATGAAGTTCCCGTTTCTCAAGTAATACGATTGACCTTTAAGTAACAACCGTTTCATGTTAAAGGTAATTGTAACATCCTCACAACGAGATTCATAACGACATTTATACCTTTGAACAGAAATTATAAACTAAAGAGATAACTTTCTTAATGTTAGTTTTCGGAATTCATGTGACGGCAAAATATCAATAAAGTATGGATAGCTTTGCATGTTGGATAATAGATTTCGAGTAGCCGCAAGCCACTTAGATGCAATAACATGAATTAGATGTATTGTCATATTTCATAGCCATGACGTTATCCTTCACTCTTTTTGGAGGAAACTTCTGTATCCCTTACAAACTGGCTACAAGTTAGGCAACTAAATAACGTACTTGCCGTGGAACCTGAAGGCCCTGGATTCGATCTCTGGGGGGGGGTCATGGGTGCGCACTTCTGAGGAGTCCCACACTAGGACGAAACAGCTATCCGGTGCTCTCGGGATCCCAGTGTTCCTTCAACTGATGTTGGTCCATGATGAATACTAACTTGATCATCACGAAGACCTCTAAATCGAACTAAATAACTGTTGGATGCTGGTCAAATTTCTTTGAGAAGCCTCAGTTTAAAACTAATATATAATATTGTAGTAATGATACTTGTAATTTCCAGTTACTAAACAGGATCGAGTTGCTTGACCTCTGTTGGGAGATGGGCTTCTATGAGGATGCCTCGATAATGCCAGGTATTTATGATGTTATAGTGATCTCGGTGACTGGCAGAGGAATCCAGGACGCGCGTTCCGTCCAATTTAGGACTCGTCGGCAAAGGGCACTGGGTTCGAGCTACGGTGGGAACATCACTCACTGAGGTGCATGTAGATCCAGTTGACGAGTCTCAAATAGGACGAAACGCGCGCCCTTAACTCCTGTGCTAGTCACCAAGATCAATATAATATGTAATATTTTCGTTTAAATGTCCTGAAACATTTGTCACAACTTCTTTGCCATGCAATCTAGTTGCATAGTATAAGTATGACCATTTAGTAGAATTTGTGTTTTTTTTTAATTTCCGTATCCACTGGTGATATTCCACTTGTCTTATAAGTAAGGAAAGTCAAGACATGAAGACGAGGACGCATTAGCCAACCTTCTATTTAAGATACCCTATCAAAATGATCGACTTTTCTTCATCTGAATTCTTGTAACAGTTATTTGACTAGGTTTCTAAGACTGTTGGGTATACCAGTTACGTCATTTCAAATAACAAGTTTTGGAGAGAACTAGGCGTTGTATGCAGTAGCTCTTGAAGTCTACTTTTTAATATGTTTATAAAATACTAAACTATCACTGTTAACTTTCGATGCGTAAACCTGCTGGGTTTGAGGAGGGGAGGGGGTAGATATCATTGATCTTTTAAGAGAGACTTGATCGTTCCAAATCGACACCTAGAAATTCATAAAAACGACATCGAGAAGTGAATAGGATTCAGCTTTACTAAGCTCATATTTATAGTAGTTCATTAGTTAAAATCATATTGAGTATCTTATAATAGCATCCTCATTTCTGACTGTTATCGGTTCTGATTGAAGAGCTTGTTTGTCATCAATATTTTTCTCATTTGTGGATAGTAGGAACTGATAGCCAGAGTTTTAGCAGTTATTTGATCTATGGGTTTAATCAGCCCAACACTACGTTACAATAAGCTTAGGATGGACACAACCAATAGACTATTAATACAACAGTTTAATTGCTAGGGTAACCATAAACCTTGTATACAGTCGATCAATTCTAAAGTAACGCATCATCAGGCATCACCAGTATATGCATAACAAGCTGTTGACAGTCTTACACCAATATTTTCAATGCAGTGAAATATAGTCTAATGAACTCGGCTTTTATACTTATATATATTTACAGAAGAAAATGTGCAGATTAACAACATTTCACATATCTGTATTCAATTGTTAAAATACGAAAATACTTGGATCACTTAGACGTAAAGACAGGAGTAATGAATCAATTTTATCTTGTGACCACGCTAAGTCTGTTGAAAAACCATTGCCTTGAGATCTGGAATGAGCTTGATTGTGATTTCCCTCTGGTGAAGTATTGATATCACTGAAAAGTAGGTAAAAACGAAAATGGGAGGTATAATTTGATGAGTATTGGCATTGAATAGTGTAAACAAGCCACAATGGAGTAGATAAACAGACAGGAATAATGTACGAATAGTATAAACGTTTGTTAGTTCTAGCTTTTAACACTTCGCACAAGTACACAGTAAAATCAACAAACGGGTAGATAAAAGTGGTGAGTTTTACACTCGACTCTTTATAAGTAATCAGATATCTTTAAAAAAACTATTTTGATTCATCGGTTACTCTTCCTCCATCCGGTGGTGGAATAACGCGAATCACTGATAAAAATAGGATTGGATTTCAACTCCGGACGCACATTTCCTCGAAAGGAAAACCTATGTTGCTTACAAATTGAAACTGAGAAAATCTATCTTACGCAGTAATCATATTCATTATTATTATTAGTCAATTGGGTTCCTAGTGGAACATAGGACTTCACTAGCACATCACCATTTCGCTCTCTTCTCTCCACTCCCCTTTACCTGCATCCACGAATCACCACAACCTTTCATTCCTACCTCACACCATCTCATCCATACCACCCTCGCCTCAGACGACCAACTCGTCGTTCCCCATTCACCTTCCACTCGACAGCATGGCCTGGCGCTCAATGTCCACAAACCGTCTTCTCAGTCTATGCCTAATCCAATACAATACAATACAATCCATCTCCACTTTCTTATCCATTTCTGCTGGACGATGGGTTGTTGGTTGGTTCGTTGCAGGCCAGAATTCCTTATTCCTCATTCTTTCTGGCCTTCTCATCTGATATTCAGTGTCGAGTGAGTGTAGGCGACAAGCTGTTGATGTGATGCATGTCTGTAGTTTGTTGGAGATGTTTTTCGTAACACGCCTAATCTCTCAACCACCACATGGAAGCACTCACTGACTTGACTGACATTAGTGTTAAACATCCGGATCTTGTTCTTTATGCCCAGTCCAGTGCAGTGCAGTAGATCTTCACACTGATTTCAGGTTAATCAAGGCCTGTCTTGTTGTCTTTCCGATCCTGGCTGGCTTTGACGTCCTCATCTGTACCGCCGCCGACACCACCTGTAGTTGATAAAATGTTGCCTAGGTAGGTGAGAGAGACAACTTCCTTTAGATTTCTTTCCTTCATGGTGATTAGTGTTTGTTCTTGTTGGTTGAGTATCTTTATCAATTCGGTCTTCTCTACGTTCACCTGAAGGAAGTCCAGTCTTCGGTGCCCTGCCTCTCCTCCCAACTTGTTAGTATTCGCTTGTAAATCTTCGAGTTTGTGCGACATTAGACAGACATAAATCAACATCGGCGAAATAAAAATCTTCTTCTGGGGTCTTTTCATTGGTCAAACAGCCTATGCCCTTCTCACAGCTCATCAGGCTTTGTTGCATGATCCAGTCGACCACAATCAGGAAGATCATTGGTGATCGCAGGCGGCAACCTTGTCTTACACCCTCCTGTCTTCACTTCAAAGGTATCACTGAGCTTTTCATTGTCAATCACTTGGCATTTAGCATCATATGGCTAATAGCTGTTGAATGAGGTTGATAAAGATTTGTGATACTCCGTGGTGTTGACGCTGTCGAAGACCTTTTCAAAGTCGATAAAGTTGAGATAGAGAGTTGACTGCCATTCTCTACTCTGTTCACTGATGATGCGTAGCATGGCGTTGGAATTTGATACGCACAAGATTTGTACTTCCTAAATCCAGCCTGTTCCGGTCGTTTTTTGAATCCAGCGCATCCTTTAGTCTCCAGGATGATGCAGCTTAATATTTTGCTTAGGAAGGACAGCGGCATGATTCCTCTCGAGTTCTTGGAGAGGCTTAGGTTCCCCTTCTTCGGGAGCTTGACAAGTTAGCCCTTATTCCAATCTGCAGGTGCCTTATCTTCCTTCCAAACCTTTCGTCAGTAGTGGTGTGAGCATGTCCGCTGATGTCTCTGCGTCTTTTTTCAGTGGTTCTGGAGGAGCAATCATACGTAGATAAAATGAATTAGAACGAAAGAATAAATTTCTAATGATTGACAAGCGTGTTCACAAAACTATTAAGAAAGTAACAACCTAGATAAACCTAAACAGAACAACTAAGCATAATACATAATATAGTAATAATATTCATAAACGATAACTGGTCTAATGTTAGAACGACAAATTCCTAATTAATACATTATTCATATATTAAATATCTTCCTATATCGTTTACCACACACTTACTCGTCTTCAACAGGATCATTGACTAGAACTAGGACATCAGCTTGGAATTCTGTATATCGATACAAAGCCATATGAATTGATACAACATCTTCGGTAGAGTGATCAAATTTAGCTACTTTCTGTTGACCAAGTAACAGAACTACAGAGGAACAACTAAGGAATGAACGATTTAAAACAGAATAATATATTAAGTACGTAGTATTAAGCATATACATGACTGACTGACAAAATCGACGTTGAACCACGTACACAACTCCATCGTCTCAAGTTGTCACACTACACAGTTGTACACAGAGAACAGGTGGATAGAAGGAGAGTGATATCAAAGTAGACAAAACTGTGTGAGACAATACATAATTTGATGATAATGGTTAGTGTAAATATTCAAGCCTTAGAAAATGTCAAGGAGTGAATACATTTGCGTCACTGTTACCGATTTTCAACCATGTCACTAAGAATTCTCAAATACGGATGGCTGTCGTCTCGGGGACCCCAACTAGGTAGTCTTCACCTCCCCACACGGCTCATAACAACAGGAAAAGACTTCGTCGACTAGTGCCAGATCTTGGTCTGGTCACCCTTACAACTTAACCTAACTTCCTCTAGCATGGCACGTCAATCTAGGTGGTGGCTTCGGCGCGCACAGCATATATCCAAGACATCTCAGTTGACTAAGATTCACAACCTCATCAATTGACTTGGCTCTCTTGCCTGGTATCCTTCGCCTGACCTCAACATTGTTCCCACGATGATCTTACCACAAGTGAGCAATGTCATGAAAACATCTGTGATCAGAACCCTGCAACCACTTCATATCTCACAGCCGTATAAAAGAACACAATGGATTGCAGCGCAGTACACTCGCCCTTTGATAGATAGTCGAATATCTCATCGGTCGGTGCCAGAATTTGGCAAATGCCAAACGGGACTTTCTTACCCGAGCTGAGATTTCGTCAGGAGTCAGCCCGTTCGGGTTACCGACTCTCGATGTGTCTTGTAAGTGACCACAGTGGCGAAGATGCATTAAATCCTTGACATAATCAAAATTACGAACATTTCATTCATCTCTATGTAACTTTACTAGGTCTCATGTAACATCTTTCCTAGTGATGTTCATATTATTCTATTCTGTTAGTTCTATTTTTTTCTGCACTACTATGAACTATTGCAAATTGAACTGGTGCACTTCTGTACAAGGTTATATGACGCTCAGTTTATCTGTATAACTAACAAATTTTATTTGAAATAGACATATAATTTATAAAGGGTAGTGAAGGTTGTAAACATGTTGGAAAATGGTTCGCAAATTTTTGATGAGTACAAACCATCTTGAACAGTTGTCGTTTTTATTAAAAATAAATTAACTGAGCCTTCATTTTTTTTTTTGTTGAAATTTAATACCTTCTAAAGAATTCAGTTAATTGTAAGTTTGGTTGATAGGCTCTGTATCATTTTCAATTTTGTTGTTGCTAGAATATAATGAGTTTCTGCTTGTTTGATGAGCAGTTTTTATCCTTCTGGATCAATAAATACCGAACTTTACTGATTATTTTTTAATTTATTGAAAAAACAAGATAACATTTTCATCGACAATAAAAATAAAATAATTGTTGTACATAAAATAAGGATACTTGTTGCATAAATATGCTTCATTGGGTTAGGAGACTCGAGTTTTAAAAATCTGGTAACAAACATGAAGCCCACCTTACCTAATGAGGTTGGTCTAGTCAAGGAATGTTAGTCGCATTCACAAGACAAAAGGTGTCAGGCTATCACTCTTTTGACAGCGTATTCCTGTCAAACAATCAATGGCCCATAATCCAACGGTTGGCAACATGACTTGAATATACGTTGAAAAGAAACTGGACATCAGGAACGAATGAAGCACAAAAGCTTACGCTTTATGAGAATAATATTACAGAAGTACGTTCGTTTTGTATAAATTATGATCAACAAAACTTTCAAAACAGATCCAGTTGAATGTGATAAGGTGAATATTTCTTCAAAGGTAAGGGTATGGGGAAGTGAAATTCACCGTTATCATTATTATTATTAGATCACTAACGTGGTATAGCAAGGGTACCAAGAAATGCGCCACACAAAATAGGATAACAACACTGTGAAGACATAAGCGATGGGAAGTAGATAAATAGAAAAGAAAAACAATAAGAATAGCATGGTTAAGATGGTAGTGCAGTAAGGTACGTTCAAAACAAAGTATTCATTACTCTTCAGCAACAGAAGATAGGAGGAAGCTACAGCATGACTGCTACTGGTTTCGATTCTAAGTCATGTCGGATAACGTCCCAATCCACTGAGTTGTATGATCTCTCGGACCCCACTCAGGGAGTCATGATGCACCAACAGATGCTAACCCGATGCAACTATCCTTCATCCCACGGTACCATGTCATATACTGACCACTCCTCTGCCTTTTCCATCCAGTCTCAGGACTAACAAACAATGAACGGTATGGAAGCCATAACGACGACACGCGTAACACATGTCCAAGCCACCGAAGCTGATATTTCCAGATGACTTTACTTATTCAATGACGACCTCCATCATGCCCAAACACACGCTGTTGTACCTCAGAATTACTGACATAGTGTTGCTGCCGGATACTAGCAATCCTGCGGAGACAACGATGATCGAAAACAGAGTCGTCACACATCTTCAGATCGGAGAGGCCAGATTTCACAGGCGTGGGATAGAAGTGCTCACATCGAAGCGTTGTAAACCAGACCTTTTACGGTCAGAACAACGTCGCGATGGCCCCAAAGGTGGCCCGGATTGGCGTATGCCACTCTGGTTTCCGATATGCGGTTAAAAATTTCATCACTCACACAACTAACCAGATTCAAGAACTTTTTGACTACTTCCAACGGCTCATCAACAAAGGTGAGCGCAGACATAGACTCCTGTCAATCTTGCAAAAGTAATTTGCACTTTGATGGTGCAAAGCAAACACCATACTTATGAACACTAATCAGTATGGGTAGAATCTGACTTTTGAATTTCTTGAAAGCAGCTGATCTTGCTTAAGTCCAATTGTCAATCAGAAGTTCATAGTCTTTTTTACTAACTGTTTATATCAGGTCTTCGATCTAATTCCTGATGTTGTACAACTTTTTGACTATTCTATGAATTTCTTCTTTAAGGTAGAATATACTGACCCATTCTAAAACGTTATTCAGTATATGATACTTTTTCATTGTGTGACATTTCTAATAAACAGAATAAAATGGAATTACAATCCACAACACAGTGCCCAAGTTTTACTCCTATATGATAGGTCATTGATGACAGATAATAAGTTCAAATGAAATAATTTGTGATTACTAAAATTGAAGTCATCTTGTGTTTATACAGTCAGATTGTCATCTCGCTACATGTGACCGGTCAAAAAATGGAACGGAAAGTACTATGTAAGCGTATATGATGAGTTAATAATGTAAATATAAGGTCAACATTTTTGTATAGGCCAAAGTCAAGTAGTAAACTTGTGGAGATGAAATAGGTTGTAAAAGGGGGGATGAAAATACAGAGTTTTGAAAGGGTTAGGGTACTGAATGACGAAACGAATCAATGACTACCATCAGAGTTAGAAAAGAGATCAGCTCCTTTCAAAAAATCATCCAGAAAAACTCAAAACTCAAAAAAGTTATACAGTCAACAATAATGAAATTAACAATAATCCAATGGATAATAAATTGTTTCCAAAACGTTATCCAGTAAATGATACTTTTTGACTATGTGACATTTCTAATAAACAGACTAAAATGGAATGGATTATCATCCTCTTGATAAGTGAATTTTATTTCTCTCTATGTATATCCTATGAATTGATAGCCTGTAATACACAGTTGAAAAGAAAGGCGATGAAATCCGATGAATTCATCGTATTCTCTAAACATTGGTCTCTTTACTTGACTAAAATTTGTGAAAGGAACACAAACTGTATGAGAAAATGCAAATTATCGATATAAGTTATACAGAGAAAAAGAGAACTCACTAATTATCTGGATTAAGTAATGATACAGTTCGAACAGAAAAGATATTTGAGTCTGTGGCTTCATTCGACTCACCAATTGCATCAAAATGTACTCTAATTATTTTAAACAAATAGAAACAGTAAATGAATGAATGAACTAGACACAAGATGAATAATTTCACAAAAGCTTAATACAAAATCTTAAGCAGTAAAGAAACATAACAATAATCTTAATTTATAGGAATTGTATATTTTAGGTAGTGTTCATCACGGATTCACATTGTCAACTGAACTATTGAACTTCGACCCTGTGGTTGAATGCCTATTGCGTTCGTCATGAAGCTTGCAGGTCCTGAGTTTGATCCCTAGCACGGTCATGGTCACGCATTGCTGAGAACTCCTGCAGTAGGACAAAATAGCTATCCCGTGCTCCAAGGTTTACAGTTGTCCTCCAACTGATCTCAGTCCGTAATAAAATACTACCTTAATAATAATTATTAGAAGTTAGATAAAAAAATATTCCAAACATTGTCTAAATACAATTATCAATCAGATTTCATCGAACGTAGGTTATTTTTAAGCATATTATAACGCCATTATTATTATTATGTAAAATAGCCCACTATCTTATAGAAAATCTACAAATCGACTCCGAAAGGAAATGCATTCAGAAACCTTGTGCATACAAGCGTGCAGTAGGTAATGTGCCACACCTAATGTATATAGGCGAATGATACTACCTGGTTACCTAAACACTGGTAGATGGAGTAGTGTTCAAACTGTGATCCACTGACTGAAAGTCAAGCCTACTACAGGGGATACATATCGAAATATAAAGTCAAAAAGTAGACATTATTCAGTAAACTGTGATGAATATTTTGCTCATTTATTGCGAATGTAATTTGGTTTTATTCACTTTACACAAATGTTATATCTAATCTACCTGATTGTGATAATTGAATCAAGTGAACACGGAACGCAAAATAAAAGCAGGAGGTTCCTCAGGTGATAACAATAAATAGTGAAAGAAATATCAATAAAGGCAAGAATAACTAGACTCGTAAAATGTGACGAATCCAAGGTATTAAGTTGTATTATATGAAAAGTCAGCAAGGATTACGATAATAAGGAGAAAGAGAAGAACAATCAATATTCGAACCTTTCAAAACTGACGACTAAGGCTTCCATGGATAACTAGAGGATCACCTGAAGTGAGAGACGAGAAAACCGTATAAACAAAAGGACTATATTGAGATCCTTAGCATAATTAAAGTGACTCTCAGAATATTGGACAAGATGGATTTATTATTTGATATGAGGAAGCGACGGAATAGGCACACAAAAGAAGAGGGTAAGTGAGAGAAACACTGGCTTAAATCTAGTGATTTTTAGTTAGATTCAAGATGAGAGAAAATCACTGTCTGTGGGAGAGGAAGTAAAGTAGAAATACGCTGACTGGTTACTTTCCTCGTGATTCTAACATTCATGAGGTTCCTTAAATCCGGAAAGATGTATCCGATCAACTTATTGATGATGTTTGATCATTTAAAGCTTCAAATTCTTGTTTAGGTTATCTGTGCTTTCGATGTATTTCTTCATGTACGTACCTCTAAATTACCATCGACAGCTGAACATAACACAAACTGATCTAGCTATTTTGATACTTCAACTTATTATTCATCGTAGACTAACATCAGTTGGACGAAAAAAGGAAAGCTTGGAGCATTGGACAGCTGTCTCGTCATAGCCTTCGCCTGTAAATCTTCGAGTTTGTGCGACATTAGACAGACATAAATCAACATCGGCGAAATAAAAATCTTCTGGGTTCTTTTCATTTGTCAAACAGCCTATGCCCCTCTCACAGCTCATCAGGCTTTGTTGCGTGATCCAGTCGACCACAATCGGGAAGATCATTGGTGATCGCAGGCGGCAACCTTGTCTTACACTCTCCTGTCTTCACTTCAAAGGCGTCACTGAGTTCTCCACTGTCAATCACTCGACATGTAGCATCGTATAGCATATAGCAGTTGCATGAGGTTGGTAAAGGTTTGTGGCACTAAAAGCGTAGTGTTGAAGCAGCTACCAGAATACTTCTCCGTCGGTGCTATCGAAGGCCTTTTCTAAATCGATGAAGTTGAGTTGACTGAAATTCTATGCTCTGTTCTACGATGATGCGTAGCCTTGCAACTTGATCCGCACATGATTTGTTTTTGCTGGATCCAGCTTGTTCTGATCGTAAGTTTGAATCCATAGCATTTTTATACACTTGTTATACTTGATTGAATTGTTCGACCTTTGTTACAATATGGGCTTCTATGCGAATGATAAGTGGATTATGCTTTGGCGTTTGAAGCGATGGATGTAGGGTTCGAGTCTCCATGGGAACAGCATCACTCACTAACGTGTAGGTAGATGCAGCTGACGAGCCCCAAACAGGACAAAACGCGCGTCCTGGATTCGTCTGGTAGCCACAACCAAGTAAAGTACCACTGCTCATCTTTGTTGATTACAGATATAAACATAGGGATTAAGGCACTAAAATATATCTATAGCACCAAGAGAAATGGATGGTAATAATAAAATGAACCATTCTATGAAAACAACAGAGTTTATGTGCCTAAACAGATAGATTTACTCATTGAAAAGGTGCATTTGTTCTAACAGCATATGTCATCCACAAAATACTACAGTAAGTCATGACAATTATACATGATTGGCAACAAAAGATTTGCAATGAACACGTGAAACGTTTACATCATCACCATCTAACCTTCAAAATTTAACCGTTATGAAGGTTATTGTGATTTTTGAGTACGAAATCAGATGATATGGAATTACTAAAAGATTTCGATAATTTGACGATTACATTCATAATAGCATGGTCCACAAAACACTGAACACACTGGCGATTCAGTTAGCTTCAAACTCTCTATTACACAGTGTTTCTCGATATTTTACTTCAATAATTAAAAGGTCATTGAAAATTTTGATAGTTGAAGTTTCAACACAACTCAGGAACCAAGTATAGGTTTGCACACTAGGCTATTACACAAACCTAATGTTTAAGATGCAATGGAACTGATCATCTGCGCAGGATACGGTAAGTATAATGAGTTTGAATTTACGATCCATGGATTAGTAGTTGAATACCTAAACAGTGGACTGGACAAAGATGTGGGGTTTGATATGAGAACCTAGCCCCGTAATACAACATAGCACACAATTATTTTCCATCCATACATGACACTTAATTATCTGGTGTGAGGCGCTCCGTAGCAAGTCGCTAACCTAGATTTCGCTACTGTCGGTACTCATCAGCAAGGAGTGCTTGTGAGCTCGGGGAAAATAATACCTCCTCATGAATTCAAACCGGCGTAATCCATGTTGGAGATATAAACGTTCCCATTAGGCTATACGAGCAGCCAATGACCGTCTGTTTGGTTAGATTACATACATCAAATGGTTAGTAGAGATTAACTAATCAATGTAATTTATTCTTCGCAAAACAGTTAGTTGGACTGTCTTCATTTATTTTTTCTTGATATTTTTTATATATTTAATCTTAATGACTCAATTGTGTTCATTTTCCATTTTCATTTCATTCCACTGCACTGGACTGGGCATAAAGAACAAGATCCGGATGTTTAACACTAATGTCAGTCAAGTCAGTGAGTGCTTCCATGTGGTGGTTGAGAGATTAGGCGTGTTACGAAAAACATCTCCAACAAACTACAGACATGCATCACATCAACATCTGTCGCCTACACTCACTCGACACTGAATATCAGATGAGAAGGCCAGAAAGAATGAGGAATAAGGAATTCTGGCATGCAACGAACCAACCAACAACCCATCGTCCAGCAGAAATGGATAAGAAAGTGGAGATGGATTGTATTGTATTGTATTGGATTAGGCATAGACTGAGAAGACGGTTTGTGGACATTGAGCGCCAGGCCATGCTGTCGAGTGGAAGGTGAATGGGGAACGACGAGTTGGTCGTCTGAGGCGAGGGTGGTATGGATGAGATGGTGTGAGGTAGGAATGAAAGGTTGTGGTGATTCGTGGATGCAGGTAAAGGGGAGTGGAGAGAAGAGAGTGAAATGGTGATGTGCTAGTGAAGTCCTATGTTCCACTAGGAACCCAAGTGGCAAACAAGAATTTAAAAAATCATATCAATAATCTACTCATTACCCAAAGCGTAAAAACGTCTTATGATCAAGAGAATAGGAAAGGAGAAAGATATTCAATGAAGACACATTCACCTGTTAAATAACAACAATGAATTATTAAATTAACGAAAATTGCGAACTAATTTTAAGATAGGCTGTTTTAACAGAAGTGTTCACTATCCAATTTCAGAGTTTTGGGTTAAATCAATAAAAAAGTCGAAAGTAAATAATTACTACAAAATGATAAGAATAAGTCAAATTTCTTAATCATCTATAGCTTTCTGTAGATTTCCCATCAGCTCACTTTAAAGTTACTCGCACATTATAATTCATACCTCTTTAAAACACTTATACCAGAAGAATATTCCTGGCGGTAACTTAAACGAGAAAGAATCATCTACAGTCATTAGGTTAAGTTTCAAACTTCTTAAAGTAAATGGAGATGGAAAATCTAGCAACTTCATTGTCTAATGCAATTGGTTGTTTTGTAATAAGTACTGCTTTGTAGTCAAAAAACATAAAAGCTTCACATTTTGTTTATTATAGTATCACTAACTAACAACTGGAGCCCAAATGCACTCACGATAGTCAGAATTCATCAGTGTAACGCTCAAAATGTTGTCAAAAGATGCTAAAATTATATAAGAAGTAAGTGCTATCTAACCACTTATTGAAAAATGGAGTGCGCACTCACGACCGCGCGACCTACAGGTTCCGTGGCTAGCACATTACCCTTGAGCCACTGGGTCAGAATCCAATGGTCCATATTTACAACTTCTGGTAGCTCACGATATAGCGCAACCGACACCTAATGTCATCGTTGATTAACTGTCCTCACGACCATCAGGCTTTTGATACTTGTTATTTCCCGTTGCTATCCAAGGCTGAATCGACAACATAAGTCGAACATTTAAGCTTTGTGTAGTAACAGGAAATTAGAAGCCTCAAAAATCAATTGATGTCCATCGTATAAGAAGTGGCTACCACTGGCGTTTGAAGCGAGGGGTACTGGGTGTGAGTCGCAGTGGGAACAACATCACTCAGTGAGGTGTAAGTACATTCAGCTAACGAGTTCTTGAACAGGACGAAACGCGCGTCATGAATTCAATTGCTAGCCACCAAGCAAACATTAACATATATTTAGGGTGCAACTTTTACCTGAAAATACCTGACAGCCAAATTTAAGATCAACATTTTCGGTCATCTAGTCATATAATGCCTCTAAAATCACGGTAAAGTCAACAGTTCTACAATCAGGTTAAGTCAATATTAATTATTTAGTTCTACCTTTCTCTGTAATCGATTCTCACAGAAGAAGACCTTATAGAACAAGTATTTCATTTGGTATAATCTAGGTGGATTACACATATCTTTAAAATAAAAAGTAACTTTTAACAAAGTAAATGGTTATTTTGTATATACACTTTCAGATAAAAGAATATTGACAAAAAATAAAACATTACCTAGCTGCATCTTCATGATCACTAGCATCCACATGATCCATGATCTCAATAATAATACTCTGAGAAGTAGATGGATGCAAAAATACTTCTTGATTATCAGGTATCTGACGTAGATTGCTTGAAGTTGATGAATCAATAAGAATGTAGATTATAGTATGAAGACCAAATCAAATACCATTTAAATGAGTAAAGTAAAGTACAAATGGAAAAACAATAAAATTCGAGGATAAAATTTAGTCCTAGTAAATACTGTTAGAAGATACTCTATTTTACTTTAGATAAACGAATCAAGCATCTTCTACAACTCTATGGAAGGAATTAAAATATGAAAGCCTTTCTGAAACAGAATTTATTTGACAGACCAGTTATAAACTGAAAAAAATGTAAGTGTTAACACATAATTAATTGAATGCTCGCAGCACAGTATTAGTCGTAGAAACAATGTCTATTCCTTCACAAGTGATGGAACTATGGTTTAGTGAAACACGCTACCAACATTCAACCAGTCAGTATTATCATTCTTTCTCCCTTGGGTTCCTGGTGGAAAACATAGGACTTCACTAGCACATCACCATTTCACTCTCTTCTCTCCACTCCCCTTTACCTGCATCCACGAATCACCACAACCTTTCATTCCTACCTCACACCATCTCATCCATACCACCCTCGCCTCAGACGACCAACTCGTCGTTCCCCATTCACCTTCCACTCGACAGCATGGCCTGGCGCTCAATGTCCACAAACCGTCTTCTCAGTCTATGCCTAATCCAATACAATACAATACAATCCATCTCCACTTTCTTATCCATTTCTGCTGGACGATGGGTTGTTGGTTGGTTCGTTGCAGGCCAGAATTCCTTATTCCTCATTCCTTCTCATCAAATGTTGCCTAGGTAGGTGAGAGAGACAACTTCCTTTAGATTTCTTCCGTTCATGTTGATTAGTGTTTGTTGTTGTTGGTTGAGTATCTTTATCAATTCGGTCTTCTCTACGTTCACCTGAAGGAAGTCCAGTCTTCGGTGCCCTGCCTCTCCTCCCAAAATGTTAGTTTCCGCAGCACTGTATGATTGTAATCTTCCTTTTGACTTGAATCTTGCTGTCATGATCCTAGAGGAGATTGACTCCCACTGCGTGAGAGCCTTCGACAGTCCTAGGGACATCATGATAATCACCCCCTCAGTGTTCTCGTGATTGTCGTCTGCGTGACCGCAGTAGATTATCAAATCTACAGTTAACAGTTTGGAGAGTCCACTCCCATTCCATCTGCTCTCTCAGATTCGTGGTATTTCAATTCGATATCTTCTTATTTCTTTTGCAATCTGAGCAGTCTTGTTAGGTTCAAACATGGTGCGGATATTCCATATCCCTATGCTTACTTCTGTTTTCATCGAAAGAAGATATTCAACCTTTGGGTGATGGATTCGAATTTCGCCCTGAAAGTCAAAGTTCGGGCAACCATATAATCTTATACCTACTAATAATAAGTGAGAAACATATACCAGTAAATGAACCTATGCATTGGTAATAAGTTGCTTGCATGGTACAGAAAGGTCATAGTACTTGATAAATCTAATAGCAATAAGCAAGAAGGACGAAATTAATAGAATAAAATATCATTTTATTTCACGAATACTCTTCTGCTGCATTAAAGGACATGGGACTTTTCAAAACAAGAAACTTAAGTTTTACAAAAAAATCAGATAATCCATGTATGCTGTGATCGTAAGTACGACCTAACACTACGAGCAATATGAGCCTAGCAGACTACGAACGATACGAACCTATCGAGCAAACGAATCGACTCTGGCGCAAATCAGAACATCAACTACCATCACAACAATATCACCGATGCGCGAAGACAAGAGAAGACAGGCCGTTGATAGAGAGTTTTTTAGAGTCTCAATAACAGTCAATACAGTTGAAAACGATGTCGAACATACACATTTCCAAATGACCTTGGCAACACTAAATTCACATATAGGTAAAAATAGTTAGCGACCAATGAGAGTTCAGCCTTGAGAGGACAGAGAAGAAAAACAAGTAATAATGTGAAAACAGCTACGTACGTTATTTTAAGGTCATGGATAAAACACTAGGCAAAAGCAAGTCAGCAAATAGATAAATATATAGTTATATTATTCGAATGAAAACAAAACAGGATCAAATCATATGCACCAAGAGAAGGAAGGGAAGTTACCTAGCGATTGAAAGAAGGGCTACCTTGTCGAACTCCCGAAGAAGGGCGACTGAAGTCTTTGCAAGAACTGGCACGGAGTCGTGCTGCTGTCCACCCCAAGCAAAATATTAAGCCGCATCATACTAGAGAGACTAAACAATGCACTGCATTCAAAGCTACTACCCGAACAGGCTGGATTCAGGAAGTACAAATCACGTGTGGACCAAATTGCTACGCACCACATCATCATAGAACAGAGCATAGAATGCCAGTCAACTGTCTACCTCAACTTCATTGACTTTGAAAAAGCCTTCGACAGCATCGACTAACAAGTAATTTGGCAACTACTTCAACACTACGGAATACCACAAACCTTTATCAACCTCATTCAACAGCTATATGAAGACGCCACATGCCAAGTATTTCACAATGGGAAGCTCAAAGATGCCTTTGAGGGGAAGACAGGTTAACTGGTAAGACAAGGCTATCCACTATCACCCATGATATTCCTGATTGTGGTGGACTGGATCATGCAGCAAACAGTGAGGAGCAAGAAGAGGAAGATACGCTGAACCGGGAAAAAGATCCTTCAAAATTTGGATTTCGCCAATGATGACTTGTGTCTAATGTCGCACAAACTCGAAGATCTACAGGCAAAACTAACAAGTTGATAGAAGAGGCAGCAAAGACGGGACTTCAAGTGAATGTAGAGAAGACAGAGGTGATGAAGATACCCAACCAACAAAACCAGCAACAACAACAAGCTGCAATCACCATCAACGGGAGAAACTTAAAGGAAGTAGCCTCCTTCACCTATCTACGAAGCACTGTTTCAACTACAGGCGGCACAGACGAGGACGTCAAATCCACCCAGGAGCGGAAAGACAGCGAGACAGGCGTTCATTAGCCTGAAACCAGTGTGAAGACCTACTGCACTCCACTCAGCATAAAGAACACGATCTGGATTTTCAACACTAATGTCAAGTTAGTGCTTCTATATAGCTCAGAGACTTGGAGCGTCATGAAAAGCATTTCCAACAAACTACACATATTCATCAACAACTGCTTACGCTCACTCTCTACTGAAGATCAGATGGCCAGATTAATGAGAATAAGCAACAAGGAGCTCTGGGAACGAACCAACGAAGCAAGAACCTATCACCCAACAAATATTCAGGAGGAAGTGGAGATGGATTGGGCATGCACTGAGAAGGCCGACTGAGGACATCACACGTCAGGCCAGTTGCTCGAGTGGAATCCCTATGGGAAGCGACGAGTTGGGCGTCTGAGATGAGGGTGACATGGAGGAGATCGTGCGAGGAGGAAATGAGAGGTTGTGGGCTGTCGTGGAGCCAGGTTCAAAAGATCTCAGAGAACAGAGGTCACTGGAGACGTGCTACTGAAGCCCTATTGTCCGCTAGGAACACAAGGGATAAATAAATAATAATAATAATAGCTGGCAGGACAGAAACTGTTATAGCTAACGTACTGCCTGGTCCATGTGTCTTTTTGACGCATGGTCTTATCAATATTTTCATTACTTCTTTCTACTGACGTTGAGTTCGTAAAACTAAACTGGTTTTCATGCTCGAATTCCATCGTAGATTTAGTGTCAGGATGAGCCTCGCTGAGCTTGTCAAACAAGTCACTTGCATGTATCGTATCATTACAAGCAACAAAGGTGTCATCAGCGTACCTATTGTAATATATTGTTCTTCTGATGACTAAACTCAAGCATGTTTGTTCAAAATAATTGTTGGAGGGCGCCAGATTCGCATGAAAAGTTGTTTGTTTCTTTAAACACTTTTACAGCGTCCATTTCGCACCAATTTTTACGACGTGGCCAGTAGCTAATTTCTGCCCCCATTTTCAAGGTAATTCGCTGATTGGTTAATGCTTACTTTTACAATGTCAATGTCGCAAATCTTGGTCAAGGTCACGTCTCATCCATATGTACTCAGGTGTCTTTAGGTTAATTGATTATTATTATCTGAGGAATAAATTCTCCCATCCAGTTCAACCTTCTTCTCTATTCGTCCTGGGGTTGGAGTCGGTGGGTCTTGTGAGCGAAGTTAGCAGTCAGTTAAGCGTGCGCTTTAAATCCACTCAAAATATATAACAGTAACCCACGAAGATATCTGCTAGGACAGGTCCTAAATGCATGAAAATCTAATTTCAGTTTCTATTATCAATCTTAAAAATGCAGATGTTTCAATTTCACTGGATGAAGGTAAAACCTTATAGATATTAGTGATCTACTGCCGGGGTCCTTCATATAGAACACTGTATAAAGAGTCGAACATCAATTTACTCAAACAACATTAGCCCTAACAGAGTTGAGAGGGTAGCTGACACTGCCCGGCTGCCCATACTATAGAAGTTCCCTCACAGAATGTAACATAAATAACAACGGATAAATGATGCTATAATAACAACTATCTAAGGAAATAAATTTCGTTTGAAAGCGCTTGCAAAGTGATTGCTTTGTTGCGTGACTCATTACACTCATGACACTACTCATTCCTCTCGGACATGCATATATCAGTGAACAGTAAAACATTTATAATTTGTGTACCTGGCATCGATTACATTTGTCGGCAGGAGACATCGAAAGGCACTATCAAAAAGTTGACGAGGTTGCATTGTATTGAAACTAAACGTGAATATATAAGAAAAGAATTGAGATCAGGAAAGTTAGATATGTCTTTAAAGGCAATGAAGCAAAATCAAATCATTCGAATAAACGTACGCAAGTAAAAGTTACACGCTTTACGAAAGAACTACCACCTGCCTGTTGAGAAGGATGTTAAGCGATTAACCAGATGGAATATGGAGAAATTCGCAAAAAATACCTCAAAACATACGGTAAACTGATAGTACAAATCAAAAAGCTAGAAAATTATAAATTCACGCATGTCACTCTTTCAAGAGGAAATAACACTACTCGAAGTAGAAAGAACAAATTCAGCTTTGACAAGACATTCGAATGGTTACAGTACCCTGATCTCAAATCTAATTCGTACAAAAACCTCTACTTTTAATAACTAGACAACATAAGTAAATATCTATTTTAAATGCCCCATCCGTTCACCACAAAACAACATCGCAATCATTACAAGCAACGAGGAAAAAAGCGGAGACGCAACTAAGGAATTTAAAGACAAACATAACATTTTTCATCTTCATTCCCACTTATTAATTATTATTATCATTATATGATCATTATTTACTCGTTGTGTTCCTGGTGGAACATAGGACTTCACTAGCACATCACCATTTCACTCTCTTCTCTCCACTCCCCTTTACCTGGCTCCACGAATCACCACAACCTTTCATTCCTACCTCACACCATCTCATCCATACCACCCTCGCCTCAGACGACCAACTCGTCGTTCCCCATTCACCTTCCACTCGACAGCATGGCCTGGCGCTCAATGTCCACAAACCGTCTTCTCAGTCTATGCCTAATACAATACAATACAATTCATCTCCACTTTCTTATCCATTTCTGCTGGACGATGGGTTGTTGGTTGGTTCGTTGCAGGCCAGAATTCCTTATTCCTCATTCTTTCTGGCCTTCTCATCTGATATTCAGTGTCGAGTGAGTGTAGGCGACAAGCTGTTGATGTGATGCATGTCTGTAGTTTGTTGGAGATGTTTTTCGTAACACGCCTAATCTCTCAACCACCACATGGAAGCACTCACTGACTTGACTGACATTAGTGTTAAACATCCGGATCTTGTTCTTTATGCCCAGTCCAGTGCAGTGGAATGAAATGAAAATGGAAAATGAACACAATTGAGTCATTAAGATTAAATATATAAAAAATATCAAGAAAAAATAAATGAAGACAGTCCAACTAACTGTTTTGCGAAGAATAAATTACATTGATTAGTTAATCTCTACTAACCATTTGATGTATGTAATCTAACCAAACAGACGGTCATTGGCTGCTCGTATAGCCTAATGGGAACGTTTATATCTCCAACATGGATTACGCCGGTTTGAATTCATGAGGAGGTATTATTTTCCCCGAGCTCACAAGCACTCCTTGCTGATGAGTACCGACAGTAGCGAAATCTAGGTTAGCGACTTGCTACGGAGCGCCTCACACCAGATAATTAAGTGTCATGTATGGATGGAAAATAATTGTGTGCTATGTTGTATTACGGGGCTAGGTTCTCATATCAAACCCCACATCTTTGTCCAGTCCACTGTTTAGGTATTCAACTACTAATCCATGGATCGTAAATTCAAACTCATTATACTTACCGTATCCTGCGCAGATGATCAGTTCCATTGCATCTTAAACATTAGGTTTGTGTAATAGCCTAGTGTGCAAACCTATACTTGGTTCCTGAGTTGTGTTGAAACTTCAACTATCAAAATTTTCAATGACCTTTTAATTATTGAAGTAAAATATCGAGAAACACTGTGTAATAGAGAGTTTGAAGCTAACTGAATCGCCAGTGTGTTCAGTGTTTTGTGGACCATGCTATTATGAATGTAATCGTCAAATTATCGAAATCTTTTAGTAATTCCATATCATCTGATTTCGTACTCAAAAATCACAATAACCTTCATAACGGTTAAATTTTGAAGGTTAGATGGTGATGAGTGTAAACGTTTCACGTGTTTATTGCAAATCTTTTGTTGCCAATCATGTATAATTGTCATGACTTACTGTAGTATTTTGTGGATGACATATGCTGTTAGAACAAATGCACTTTTTCAATGAGTAAATCTATCTGTTTAGGCACATAGACTCTGTTGTTTTCATAGAATGGTTCATTTTATTATTACCATCCATTTCTCTTGGTGCTATAGATATATTTTAGTGCCTTAATCCCTATGTTTATATCTGTAATCAACAAAGATGAGCAGTGGTACTTTACTTGGTTGTGGCTACCAGACGAATCCAGGACGCGCGTTTTGTCCTGTTTGGGGCTCGTCAGCTGCATCTACCTACACGTTAGTGAGTGATGCTGTTCCCGTGGAGACTCGAACCATCGCTTCCATCGCTTCAAACGCCAAAGCATAATCCACTTATCATTCGCATAGAAGCCCATATGTTAACAAAGGTCGAACAATTCAATCAAGTATAACAAGAGAGAATTACAAGTGTATAAAAATGCTATGGATTCAAACCTACGATCAGAACAAGCTGGATCCAGCAAAAACAAATCATGTACAGATCAAATTGCAAGGCTACGCATCATCGTAGAACAGAGCATAGAATTGCAGTCAACTCAACTTCATCGATTTAGAAAAGGCCTTCGATAGCACCGACGGAGAAGTATTCTGGTAGCTGCTTCAACACTACGCTTTTAGTGCCACAAACCTTTACCAACCTCATGCAACTGCTATATGTTATACGATGCTACATGTCGAGTGATTGACAGTGGAGAACTCAGTGACGCCTTTGAAGTGAAGACAGGAGAGTGTAAGACAAGGTTGCCGCCTGCGATCACCAATGATCCTGAGTGGATCATGCAACAAAGCCTGATGAGCTGTGAGAAGGACATACGCTGTTTGACTGATGAAAAGACCCCAGAAGAAGATTTTTATTTCGCCGATGTTAATTTATGCCTGTCTAATGTCGCACAAACTCGAAGATTTATAGTCGGAAACTAAGACGAAACAGCTTTCGTGTGCTCCGGATTTTAACACTAATGTCAGTCAAGTCAGTGAGTGCTTCCATGTGGTGGTTGAGAGATTTGGCGTGTTACGAAAAACATCTCCAACAAACTACAGACATGCATCACATCAACAGCTTGTCGCCTACACTCACTCGACACTGAATATCAGATGAGAAGGCCAGAAAGAATGAGGAATAAGGAATTCTGGCCTGCAACGAACCAACCAACAACCCATCGTCCAGCAGAAATGGATAAGAAAGTGGAGATGAATTGTATTGTATTGTATTAGGCATAGACTGAGAAGACGGTTTGTGGACATTGAGCGCCAGGCCATGCTGTCGAGTGGAAGGTGAATGGGGAACGACGAGTTGGTCGTCTGAGGCGAGGGTGGTATGGATGAGATGGTGTGAGGTAGGAATGAAAGGTTGTGGTGATTCGTGGAGCCAGGTAAAGGGGAGTAGAGAGAAGAGAGTGAAATGGTGATGTGCTAGTGAAGTCCTATGTTCCACTAGGAACCCAAGTGGCAAACAAGAATTTAAAAAATCATATCAATAATCTACTCATTACCCAAAGCGTGAAAACGTCTTATGATCAAGAGAATAGGAAAGGAGAAAGATATTCAATGAAGACACATTCACCTGTTAAATAACAACAATGAATTATTAGATTAACGAAAATTGCGAACTAATTTTAAGATAGGCTGTTTTAACAGAAGTGTTCACTATCCAATTTCAGAGTTTTGGGTTAAATCAATAAAAAAGTCGAAAGTAAATAATTACTACAAAATGATAAGAATAAGTCAAATTTCTTAATCATCTATAGCTTTCTGTAGATTTCCCATCAGCTCACTTTAAAGTTACTCGCACATTATAATTCATACATCTTTAAAACACTTATGCCAGAAGAATATTCCTGGCGGTAACTCAAACGAGAAAGAATCATCTACAGTCATTATGTCAAGTTTCAAACTTCTTAAAGTAAGTGGAGATGGAAAATCTAGCAACTTCATTGTCTAATCCAATTGGTTGTTTTGTAATAAGTACTGCTTTGCAGTCACATATTGTTAATTATAGTATCACTAACTAACAACTGGAGCCCAAATGCACTCACGATAGTCAGAATTCATCAGTGTAACGCTCAAAATGTTGTCAAAAGATGCTAAAATTATATAAGAAGTAAGTGCTATCTAACCACTTATTGAAAAATAGCTAATAGTCTTGTAGGTTTTCAGGATATCGTGTAATGATGAGAATCGTTCAACAGATAACTTGATGATTTTCAGTTCTAAAGCAGGGGCTTTTAAAAGACGCGAGTGTATTTGTAGTTCAGCCTTCAACAACTATCAAATTTAGACAATGCACAAAAATTAACGACAGCTCGTTCGTTTAACATACGTTACTGATTCAAAACTCAATTGATGTATATAAGTAGAATTTTTATTTATTACAATGATATTTTTTCTAATAAAGCTCTTATATGTATACACAGCAACGAATGAAAGGTAGCAAAAACATTCTGTTTCGTTGTTATTGGACATGTGTGGAGACAAATAAATGCAGAAGAAGCATCTATTATACGATTATGGAGAGGTAATTACAAGAATATGCGAAAAGCGAGGTAGATAGAAATGCGGTGGTGAAATAAGACAAATCAGTCTCCACATATAGTTTCTTACATCGCATTATAAAAAGAAATCATATATGAAAATGGAAATATGCTGTGTTTTGCGTAAAATGTGGCTTTAGTGAAAAGAAAAAATAAACAAGTATGTAAGGAGAGTTGACATGACTCCACATGGCTTTGTCATGATTCGAGAGCGCAAAAAACCCTAATTACATATAACTAGTTTCAAATTAAACAAGCGGTGAACAGCTAGCAAGCACTATCACTTTTGTTCTTCTGGTTAACGTCGGGTAAAATCCTGATCAGCATTTTACCAAAGGAGAACATTCGAGAGAAAAGTAGTAAACGAAAACGTTAGGAGGGGAAATAGAGAGGGTGAATATGTTATGTCATGAGCCTGGATAACTTTCCGATGAAAGACTCAACAGAGAATGAAATAAGGAGAAAAGAGTTATACATTATCAGTGTTGCTGTTAGTGTTTGTTCTGATGAATACATCATAGCCACAGATGTTATTCTCATCACTGTCATCCATTATTCTTTGAATATATCTAATGCTTGAGCGTAAAATGGCAGTTTCATGATATTTGAGACGTTCACAATTCTGCTGTACCGATGACAATTGTGTCCATTCAGGGTCACCCTGCACAAAAAGTAAATAAGTGTGAAAAAGACTCAATACTTTATGTTATTTGATTTATGCATTGAAAGGTACGCTTAAACTTAATTGCATATGATTATAGAACCTTAGTGAGTAGTTAGGACCACTATTTTTTTAATCTTTCTCATTCAGTCTTCATTAAACCCACAGACAACAGTCGAATATATATTTTTCTGTGTATACATTCATCTAAAGCAGCATATATTACCATACAATGCAGTAGTATGATGAAACTTGAACAGTTAAGTGTTTTATTCGTGGGGGCGCACTGTTGAGGAGTCCCATACTAGGACGAAACAGCTGTCCAATGCGTCCGGGTTTCTAATGTTTCTACAACTGATGTTATTCCATGATGAATACCAACTTAGAATCAATAAATCCTCATAAACCTCCAAATTAAAATAGGGACTTATGTGAAAACGGAACTTAGTAATACAGCTGAGAGTATTTACTCAGTAAACAGAGAGTGACTACTCTGATTTCTAGCTTACAGATTTTTTTTAACTTTAAACGAACCACTAAACACACCACTTCTAAGCAGAGTATGGTATTAAATTCACCTAATGAATGAGGATGAATAATATCAACTTAGCTAATCAGTTCTTTGTAAATGGAGAGAATTCTTAATACATCATGATCTGCTGACTGAAAGTTGAATATATACGTCAACGGCTTAAAAGTGCAATAAATAAGTCATATACACTTTTATAAGTAAGGATCATCGAGTCTATCACAAAGGATTATTGAAGACACTCGGCACTACATGAGACTTATTATAGTCGGCAATATTATTTCTGTATATTTGTAATTCTCGAATAAGCTAAACAAAATCCCAATGTCCAAATGAAAAGTCAAAAGTAAACAAGGTGAAGTTAGTTTACATAGGATAACTTCTACAGAAGATCCTTTATTCCACATGCATGTCAACCATATGGCCTTCAAAAATCCAACATTGCGATGTATCGTAAGTGTACGACGTTTTAGAATTTCAAGATGATGCGAACGCATAAAACATAATAATAAGGTTGGTCACATTGCTTTCTAGATCAAAAAAATAATAATTTCAGGTTGGTATCCATTCTGGACTGACATTAGTTGGGGAAACAACGGGAACCTAAGAACACTAGCAAGTTATTTCGTCATAGCATGGGACTTCTTGGCAGTGTGCATCCACGAACCTGCCAGGAATCGAACCTAGGACCTCCAGGTTCCTCGGTCAGCACGTTACCACTGAGCCAGATGGTCGGGATCCAAGGGTCCATATTTCCTACTTCTGTCAGTTCACAACATAGAGCGACCTCCGTCCAATGCCATCGTTGAGTAACTGTCCTTATGTTCGACTTGGTTGGCCCCACTGACAGAAGTAGGAAATATGGACCATTGGATTCCGACCCACTGGCGCAATGGTAAAGTGCTGGTCACGGGATATGAAGGTCCTGAATTCGATTCTTGGAGAGGTGGAGGATGCAAACAGCTGAGGAGTCTCACTCAGGGACGGAACGGATGTCCACTGCTCCTAAGTGTCCAAGGTTTCTCCAACTGATGTCAGTTCGGGATAAATATCAACTTGGAATGAATAAATAAATCCCCACAAACCTCAAAATCTAAAAACTTCACACCTGTCCCTCCATATTGTGTGAAGATACTAATTAGTAGGCTGCAGTGTTTTCAAACAATACGCTTTATATATATAACCTGATGCAACACATGACAACCAGTATTTCACTGAGACGTAAATTATCAATAATTTTGGTGTAGAGGAAGATATTCTTCACCAGCACAAATTATAACTACTATAGATGGTTGAGTGAAGAAGTAACAGTAATAGAATAATTTTAGTGGGAATGTTGCCCACTCCTTGATGCATTTATTTTCAAATACTGGAATACAGGGACGAACAGCGAACCCACCTACCGGGGTCTACGTAGCTAGACAGCGTCACTAACCTTTACATACTAGGTGACAATGATGGGACCTACATAGCCGTAAGTAGGAAGAAATCGTTTTTAAAATCTCAGTGATAAAATGTGATAATTCAAGGAATATTAAATGGACTAACTCACCTCAAGGACAACACTTCCATAAGCAGCAATTAGTAATTTCAACCGGTTAATCATAAAGGTGAATGCTTTGTAATCAGAACGTTTTTCTTTCGTAAATTTGAATTCACTCAGTTTTAATTTTACTGCTTGACAATCGGAATTAGCCTCCATCAATTGATTATTAAGTTCACCTAAAATGCATGAAGTTGAAGAACGCAAATATTCAACCTAATAAAAAAAATAATCAAAACTAATTACAACTGTAGGGGGAGTTGCTGATAAGAATGGATATAAGTACTATATGTTGAGGGGATGGCAGAAATCATAGGGAATTACCAGCAATGGGTAAGGATTCCGCCAAGAGAAACGCAAGAGACAAGGGAGGCGCATAAAGAGTAAATCAAGAGAGAAGCAGAAGAGGAAATGAAGCATATTTTGCAAATGACGGTTTTAGTGCAAGGTGTACCATATTTAACGACTACTGTCCCACTTGTTGACAATATACACTCCTTCCTGCATATCTGTCTTTTACTTCTTACACAACGACTACCGACTGACTATTCAAGACTCTCTTGGGGGTTCCTCGAGGAGCCATCCTTCCCCTCTGGCTTTCCCATTTCTCTCTGCATGACTGGTCGTCTTCAGATAGTATCAGTTTTATTAAGTATGCTGATGACCAAAAAGTTTCCATATCTGTCTCCTCTTCAACAGATTTCTTCTCAATTGAATGGTTTCTTATCTACTGTCAGACGATAGTCCTCCATGAATGGTCTAGAGCTTAATTCTTCAAAATGTCAGACTATAAACTTTAGTTATAGAAGTGAACATAACCTATGTAAACTGCTTAGTTCTCATGATTCCTGTCTGATTGATAGTTGTGCGCTAGAGAATGTTACAAGTGTGATTAATCTCGGAGTGTTTTTCTTCGGACCTCTCCTGGTTCTCATATAACTTACTAATTTCCAAAAGAATTTTCCGCCTAACTTTCTATACTAGGAAGGTGCGAGGATCTGGTATAACTCAGCCTATGTGCTTATGTTTTATAAACTCTTGGATCTTGCCTGTTCTCCTCTATTGCTCTCCTTTATTTTTTCCTGGGTTGGTGGAAAAAACTATGTTATAATGGGTAGAACTTTGAAGATGGTTAGCAGAACTAGTGGTATGCCTCTAAACCTCCTAATTAGAATAGTTGTGGATAAACATATTAACCCATGTAAACATCTGGTAGGAGTTATTTTATCAGATGACCAGTATCACTCAAAACTCTCTGTATGTAGGTCATCTGGAAAGACAAGGAGCAAGTACATAAAACTTTATCTAAGTAATAAAAAGTATAAAAACTCTACAATACCGTATTTAGCTCGTCTGCTGTGCGATGAAGAAAGTATTACAAATGAACTAACTGATCAACTTCAGTTTTTGAAAGCAAACTAATTAGTGAGTACACAGCATGTTACTATTCATATATTATCAATCTAATTGCTAATGTGTTTTTCTACCTAAATTAGCTATGTATTTTCAAGAAAGCTGTAGATGGAGTGAATATTCTTACCTTCTTTAGTTAATTTATACTTATTTCAACTCGCTATGTACACATATAAAAAGTGTTTCTGTCCAATTGATGCTATATGACATGCTGATAATTCTGTAGAGTATTCCTGAAATACCTTTCAGAATGAAGCCATTATTACTGTTATTATTATTATTATTACTAAAAAAACTTGTGGTTGACACTACCGTAGATGAAAGTGAATAGGGTGTTGAGGTGAAATTTTATCCCAGTAGTCTCGTTGTTTACGTAGACAATATTACCTGTTACAAACATTGCTTTCCAGGTTGCATTGCATAAAACATATGGCAAGAAAAAACGATACCGATGAGTTTAATTTCACTTAAAAAGAAGCAGAGTTTTAACAAGTAGTAAAAGAAATTATTTAATTAAATGGGGGGGGGAGGTAACTAACCTTCATCCATGGAAAAAATGCGTGAAAATATGAAGAATTCTGTCATGGATTTCTTGTCACTGCGTAAATCGCACTTTAACGGACTGAGAATTGAAAAAAGAAAGCGAAAGGAAAATTCTTTTAGAACTTGGCAGAATGTTTTCATACTCTTAACGAAAATCATCTTTAAGAGACTACAAATCCAATTTCGGTATCCAGAATGTTGCCACGTATGCTCTACATAGCGTCACTGACGTTAATGATCATTATTGCGTTCAAATAGTGTATGAAATGAGTAATTGTGAACACAATTGTGATATTTTCAATCTAAAATGCCTCATTAAGCTTACATGTCAATATGTTGGATACCGGCAGCGTTACAGATCTTATACTAGATTGTTCGTTTGATATAGCACACGGTGATACATTATCACTGACTATATGCTATATTAAATGTAATGTAGAGTAATATGGAATTATACTCTACCATAGTACTCAAGCATTACTCGGATATCATTAAGAACTTTGCATGACCTGAGACGATAGGGTTTCTACATAGAAGAAGTAACTACATTATTCACCGTTATGAAACGCAGCCCCCTTAGGATCTTGGGCTACCAAAAGACATTCCACCGATTATATCCCATCAAATTCTTCCCTTTCAGTTTGTTTTAATATTTTAAATGTCTTCTGAACGCATCATGTACTCTCGTACGTTTTTAAGATGTTTTCGAACTTTCCTTTTTCAAACTAAGAACAAAACAAAGGAAATACGTTCCGCCAGTTGGAAATGGATTTGTAAATGCTTAAAAATACATCACATTACTGTTTCTAGGATACATGTATAGGATTGTAAAATTTATGTGCTGGTTAACTGAATCGCCACCATTAAAATTATACTCGATTTTGTGTTAATTTACGAATCAAGAACAGATGCTAAAGTAACATCGGCTGCCAGTTTTACAATTATGCCTTCGAAAATTCCATACTGTATTATAAATGTTATTTGGAACACAGTGAATATTATTATTATGAGACTACTTCACAAAATAACCAATAGGCAATTTCCCTACAACAAGACTGATTTTATACTTGTTTCAGTTCGTGAAAATCAGACGTTAATGAAATGTGATTTCTTGAGTGCAGTGACGGACTTGGCTGCTATCTGTTGGTTCTACCGACATATAACTACTGAAAAAGGGAGTTCCTTTACAATTGCCCCAACTAACTAAGTTTATCCTACAACGAATGCTTGCTATTTATAAACCACAAACTACAGTTCAGAAAAACAATATAAAGAATATATTTCGTGACAGTTTGTTCAAGGAATATTTAATTAGGAAAGGTAATATGAGAGAATTAGACCAAGTTTCATTCTTCACTATGACACTGGAGTTTCAGTACAAATAATCCTTCTAACATTACATATTCTTTTTTCAAATCACATGCTCTCTCTCTCTCTCTCTGTCTTAATTTTTCATAGTAATGAAAAATGGGTAAATAACTGAAAAACAGTGTAGTACTTGATACAATTACGTTTCAGGTAATACGGCAACATTTCACATAAGCGCAGTGGGAAGCTGACATACGGAATGAAAACGGGGATGAATATGATGTCAAAAGTGGTAAAGAATGGCAAAAAAAAGAGGGAAAGCAACAAAATAAGGAAAATCGAAAAATTCAGAGCCATAAGATGGTTAAGACGTAGTAGATGTGCTACAACAAAAGATTTCAAGCAAAATCAAATATGAACTTTCTTTAACTGACAAGCAAACCACAGCCTACACTTCTTTACTCGACTCAGATCAATGATCAGAGACTTGAATGATTAGTGATACCTAGTTAAATAAGCCTGAAGTTCCATGAATTTTACTCGTAGGCTTATTAATCCAGAGCGTTGAGACAGTGGTATTATTATTATTATTATTATTATTATTATTATTATTATTATTATTATTATTAGTCCCTTGGGTTCCTAGTGGAACACAAGGCTTCGGTAGCACGTCTCCAGTGAACTCTGTTCTCTGAGATCTTTTGAACCTGGTTCCACGACAGCCCACAACCTCTCATTTCCTCCTCGCACGACCTCCTCCATTTCACCCTCATCTCAGACGCCCAACTCGTCGCTTCCCATAGGGATTCCACTCGAGGGCCTGACGCGTGATGTCCTCAGTCGGCCTTCTCAGTGCATGCCCAATCCATCTCCACTTCCTCCTGAATATTTGTTGGGTGATAGGTTCTTGGTTGGTTCGTTCCCAGAGCTCCTTGTTGCTTATTCTTTCTAACCATCTCATCTTTAGTAGCGAGCGTAAGCAGTTGTTGATGAATGTCTGTAGTTTGTTGGAAATGCCTTTCGTAACGCTCCAAGTCTCTGAGCCATACAGAAGCACTGACTTGACGTTGGTGTTGAAAATCCAGATCTTGTTCCACATGCTGAGTGCAGAAGATCTCCACACTGGTTTCAGGCTAATAAACACCTGTCTTGCTTTTCCGATTCTGACTTTGACATCCTCGTCTGTGCCTGTGCCGCCTGTAGTTGAAACAGTGCTTCGTAGATAGGTGAAGGAGGTTACTTCCTTTAAGTTTCTCCCGTTGATGGTGACTGGAGTTTGTTGGTGGTGGTGGTGCGGTATCTTCATCACCTCTGTCTTCTCTATATTCACTTGAAGTCCCGTCTTCGCTGCCTCTTCTGTCAAATTGTTAGTTTTTGCCTGTAGATCTGAGACAGTGGTAAGCTAAGCCTAATACAGATCCCAATCATTTCAGTCAATTAAAGTTGTTTACCGAATCAGCTGACTTAGTATTCCTCTTATGATATGTTTAACATCATAATAGTGCACAGCTTGGTGTCACCATTTAATCATCGACAATGACTATTCTTTATCGTCACGGCAATACGGCAGACATCACTGCTGTTCAGTAAACACTAGCAACATTCTATGAAAAGCGTCTAGATCATTTTCGTACGGCTATATGGAGAGATAAACTTCTTTTTAGTGTCTTTATTACAGATTTTATAATAGTGAGTTCTAAAAATTTCAATGCAGCCTGTAAATAAATTTTAAAGACTGAGTATGCAGTTGAACACATTTTAGTTAAATTTTTATTTATCTTAAAAATCAAATGATACACTAATCGGATTATGTACCCTAGAAATTACTTTCATAGGTAAATGACAACTTTTATTTAGCAAGGAAATGTCTGGAATTCCTTCGTTTTGCTTCTAAAGAAAAATTATGAAGACAAAATGGCTTTATTCTTAAATAATTGATTAACACTACATTTTTCAGCCAAGCTTTACCATACAAACTATGAATAATATACCACTTTTTCCTTCATAATATGTCCTTACAATATATTTGTATCGCCTCTAATTGCATATGACTTTATAAATACTGGATAGTGCAATTTTCAGACGCATCATCATCATCATCATTATCAACATAGGACCAGGCATTACTGCGTAACGGTCCGAGTTGCCACACCTCATATCAGCACATCAAGTAAAAAGGTAGTGAGGTGAAGGATGAAGATAAGTGAATGCAGTCAAAAGAAATATAAAGTACGAGAAGAAAGGAAAGAGGAGTGACAAAATAGTGAGATTCGGTATAGCCTCGTTAAGATGAGGATAATGTGTGTATACATCTGCGCCACTGACTTCGGTTCTGAGCCATATCACCTAGGGTCTGCAACCACTGGTTCCTCTTGTCCCGTGGACCCCAACCACCTAGTCTGCATCGTCCTACATGGCTTAAACCAACAGTCAGAGACTTCATACATTGGTGCCATGTTTTAGTCTGGCCACCTCGGGCCTAATTTTCAGACGCAGAAATTAATGTATTGTTATATGCCTTCCAAGTTGATGAGCCTTAACAATGAAATAAGTGCGTAACGAGTAACTGCTCTTCCACTTTTAATGTACAACAGAAACTGACTTGCTATTAGATATACTGCTGCATATATAGTATCCAGTAAACTTGGTTATGATTTTTATCTATTGTAAACTTAATGTTCACCATTGACTGCAATTGAATGGTGAATAACTTTTAATGTACTCGTATTCTGCCCGCTGAACTTGGCCACCAGAGTGCCTGCAATAAATTCTGTTTTATACTTCTGCCACTGCCTTCTTATTTGCTACGTCGTGGGTGTCTAAAGCAAATTATCATTAAGTTTACAGAATTCTATCCAGTTGTACGAAATACAAAAATACTTGAGTAGTAGTACTTCAACACTTTGAGAAGTATTATTAGACCTTCAGCTGCAGAAATTATCAATATCAACATAGGACCAGGCATCAGTACACAAAAGTCCAAGTTGCCAAGCCTCGTATCAAGGCAACAAGTAGACAGATGAAGAACGAAAGAAAGAAAAACCGGTCAAAATCAGTAGAAACCAAGAAAAGAGAGGAATGAGGAAATGTTGAATTCAGTACAGAGGTTATGATGTAGATAAACTGTGGATACATCTGCGCCACTGTCATCGATTCTGAATCATATCACCAAAAGTCTCCAAGGACTGGTTTCTTTTGTCCGGCGAACTTCAACCGGATAGTCTGCATCATCCTACATGGCTCAAGCGAACAGTCAGCGTCTTCATGTCATGTTTTAGTGTGGCCATTTTTGGCCTTTTTCCAGCCTAACACTGTAAGACGAGACAGACGGTGACTAGGCATGTGTGGCACATGTCCCAGCCAACTCAGTCGATGAAGGTTCACAACTACATCAACTGACTTACCTCTTCTCCACAAAACTCTACACGTGACTTCTGCGTTACTCACATGGTGACACCAAAAAACATGGCCTATCCTATGGAGGTAAGAGTTGTCAAACACCTGAAGCCTTCATATGTCTTTTACCTATAATAGTCATGTTTCACAGCCATACAGTAGAACAGAGCAAACTGCAGCACAGTATGCTCGACCCTTAATCAATATCGCAGTAGCGCCACAGATGGTGTAAGTCGGCGAAGGCCAGTTGAGGCTTTTGTATCCGTCCAGAGATATTGAAATAAAGCGGGAAATGTAACTGAAACGGAAGAAATTTGGTTAGGAAGACCAGAGAGTAAGTTGAAACTAATCACAAAAACAGCCCCCTCCCACCCGTCTGTCATTTGATTGCATCTTACTTGTCTCAAAGCTTAATTATTTTAATACAACATCAGCCTGAACCTTGGGGACATCACGCACCGGGCCCTCGAGTGGTACCCAAAGGTGAAACGACGAGTTGGGGGTCCGGGGGTGGTATGGAGAAGATGGTGTGAGGAAGAAATGAAAGCTACTGGGCAGTCGTGGAGCCAGGTTCAAAAGACTGCAGAGAACAGAGTGAAATGGTGACGTGCTACTGAAGCCCTATTTTCCACTAGGAACCCAAAGGACAAATAGTAATAACAAATAAGAATAATATTAATAATAAACCAGAACCACAATGTAGTAGAAAAAGTACAATCATAGAGTAAACTTACACGTTTAAACTTAAAGTTTGTAACAGTTGTCGACGCAATAATCCCAGTGAATCAGAAGAACTAAGACCTTGAAAAAAAAAACGGTGGGAAAGGTTATACCAACTATTAAATAAAAAAGGAAAATAGTCCCCTTAGAAAACTAAGACCCGTTGTAGACAGTACAGATCACCATTTCTGACTCTTCCAGGGTTTATAATAAGACTAAGCATTTTATTATATGTGGAACTGTCTCGTCAATTTTAGATCTAGATAGCCTTTTCAAAGAGAAACCTCATTTATTGTTTGTAGACAGAAATTGAAAGAAATGCAGCTTCGAAGTGAAAGTGGCCGACGACGAACTGAACCTGGTAAAATATACTGCTAGCCTACAGGTGAATAGTCCAGGTAAATAGTCCATCTCCAAGAAATATTTACGAATAGATTTAGTTTCCAGAGTAATACAATCACTGATGCACTCGACGATTTCACTTCAGAAATAATATGGAACTTACTGATTAATCCCGATAGAACCAAAAATTGACAGTATGAAGGAAATAACCAACTGCTGTGAACCTTATATATTTGTTTGATAACCAGCTAATTCAAAAGAAAATATAAAGTCATTCTTAAATGGTTGTGACATTTTTCATAACTCACTTCAATGTACATGACTGATTGTTGACCAAACAATTCCAATTAACGTCGACTATCAGAAATTCATTGATATAGGGACTTGATTTCCAACTGATGAGTCACGGACCCGAATCCAGGTCCACCTACAGAGGTTTCGACAACTAAGTAGTGTCATTAGCACTCATTGCCTATTGTACGGATGTGAAGAAGGTTGCTGGAGGGATTTCGACTTTTTTTCAAACAGCAAGTTGAGTTTGATATAAGATGGTGACGACTGAAATCTGAAGAAAAACTGTACGATGGCAGGAATCGAACCAGCAAGCACACCACTACTTATAAAGTTGTCACAAGCAATCGGTTCAGAAGTCAGTCACGTTGCTTTTCAAATTCAGGTCCATTTGATATTAGGGTTTTATATTTCCCGTTATTGATTGGTTTGGACCGAACAGATCGGTCTCTGTTGGTATTCAAGTTCCTCTGTGAATGACACGATATTAGCCGGTGATTTTATTTTGATGTAAAGGATGGGTAGTCCCAGCAGCTTAACTTCTCGATAACAGTAGTAGCCTCCAATTAGAACATGATGATTGTTCAAAAATTGTAATGTGCAACACATTTCGAGTAGTTTGACTACACACTTACTTCTCATAGTGCTCCATGCAAGTTGAAAAAAGAGTATGATAAAACAGAAAAAATTACGCTACAACTTATCATCTTCAATTGATTGGCATCAACAGAAGTCTATGTGCCAAATATGACCGATCGACTGAGTCTAAGTCGATTAACACCGAGAAAAAACAAATCATTATGTAAAACAATGATCATTAGACAGAGAGTGAGTAGTTGCCGTGAATAAGAAGCTCAATGGACAAAACTCTAGCGTTAAGAGCTACGAGTGTCTGGTTCAAGTGTCAGTGAGAAAAAGGAAATCTTATCAAATGAACGCACACTCTAAACAAGAACAAAACACGTATCTTAGATTCCATTGCTAGCTACTATTAACCCTTAGAAACCATTATGATGGTATGGAATGAGGGGAATATGCCTTGAGAACCTTGTCAAGGTGAGATGAGTCAGACAACAAACTGTTGTTGAAGATATGACGCAGTTAAGTTTTGTGTTTGGTTGGTTCTGTAGTAAGGTTAACTAGACATCTCTGATAAGTGTATAAAAGTATGAAAGCTGTTCTAACGATAATACTGTGACACACTTCTATAACACAGTTCGTTGTGCATGCAAATGGTTGTTTGCAACGTGTACCTATCGAAGTTTGAGACTTTAACTGTTGCTGAAGCCATTTAGATGTGTGTTTATCAACCCTATCTGCACAGCTTGATTACTCCTCTCTATGTAAGTGTCAATAAACACATTTAAACTGGTAAAAGCTGGGGAAAGTATCATAGTTGGCCGTATGACACTGGGTTCGATACTGAAGCAAGTGCTTTGTGATATTAACAGTGATAAGTTTAGTCGCATAATAGTTTTCCTTAACTTTATGCTACGTTTTGAAATTAAGACACTTTTATTTAGAACAAAGTTCATAATGGATGCCGAAATGACCTTTGTTGTGCTGCGTTCTCTGAGCTAGGTCGTTTAATCGTGAAGCTTTCATTGCTTTTTTCGACAACTTTATCACCACTACTTTTAATATGAAGTGAGTTGTCAGTATCTCTCCGCGAGTGATTCAGTAGCTCGCCCTGACGAAATGGTTTGTGACTGGTAGTTTCTTCGAATTGTTGTGTCACTGGCTGCAGAGACTTTCCTACTGGCTGTTTCCCCATCTGACCTCAAACCTTGTGGTTGTTTATCATTTTTCTTATTGGTTGATAGATTAGATTTACGTCTATACATTTATTGATTTCTGATGAACATGGATGTTAACCTTCTAAGGATTCTCTGATACTCTGTGTTTCCTGTCCAGGATCCCTACAATTGCAAAATCGAATTCATGTTCATAGTTGTCCACATGCATTGATATAAATGACAAAATGTCGTGATACTCAATGGTCAACTGATGCTCATATAAACAAAGGTGAAGAGGGAGACCATTTTGTTCAATGTACTGTTCGTAACAATTGTCACAGCTGATTTAGTAAATTACATTTGATTTGTCTTCATTGGCTCTTGAATTTTTTGGTCAGTATAATATGTTATGAAGGAGATTTGCTGGTTTATGAACCACATCAATTCTAAATAGTTTCAGTAGTCTTACCGTGATCTCTAATATATTCTTTGTGTATGGTGAGATGATCCGTCTACTGACTTCTACGGATAACTTAGCAGTTGATGATGAATTGGATAGGCACCTTCTGATGAAGTTGCACTGGCAACTGTTCTTTTTTAAAACAATCAAATGAATTTCCTTAGCTTGTTATTTGATGTGGTGAATTTTTTGTACTCCAGTGTGTTCTTGCTTTTTTGAAGAAAGTCTGCATGCAACTAATTTTATGCACGATAACACAACGATTTGTACTTCTATTAAATCTGCTGTACTTATACGTTGCATTTTATTGAATAGGATTTCTATTAAATCACTTTCATTGTACTGAGTGAAAGCTGTGGAAAACAAGGTACTATCCTACCCGCTTAAACTTTTAATAGATCAACAGTTTTATCAAACTATCTTTTCTCTAATTCAGTATTATATCCAACAATGAAAGATGGTTATTTTTTTCCCTAGATGTGAAGTTTCTATACTATTGTACAGTACAAACAGATGAACCAACATAAAACTATGTAGCATTAGTTTAAGCTACCGTACCACACAACAGCACAAAAAGAGTAAGTAACTAGTAACTGGATGGCGTTTACACAAAAAAAGGAAAGCATATGAAGAAAGGGAATATTTTTAACACATGGAATTAAAATTGTGTTTTAGATACGTCGATGATATAACACACTGAATAAAAGCTTACCTAATGTTATCGTCAACTTATTGTGGGGATTGTAATCGGGGACAAAACCAGAAAAAAGGAAAAATTCTTCATTTGTACGTTTTCCATAATCCATAAATATCTAAAGGAGAATAATAAGGAGAAAAAAGATTTTCATCCATCATTTTGTCATACGAGGTTTTCTACTTATCGAAATCTTTGTAGACAACTTTCAGGTAGGAACTAAATTAGTTAAAGAATCACTGAAAACCAAGGCGCGCTGACCAGCTGTCGTCTCCCAATCTGACTTCTCTTCAGCAATGTGCATCTATGCACTAAATATGGGGCTGAAACCAAGAACATCCAGACCTTAAGAAGAGCACATTATAGGCAGCGACCAAGGTGAAGTCAGCTGACTCATATTTCATAACTTCACTTCATTCATCATCATCCCACGTAATCCATTGGTATGAGCTATTATTTCTTACCTGGTTGACTTCATAGGTTACAGTTTCCATTAGAACTTTGGGGGATCTATATCAAAGTAAGTCAGCAATGAGCACTAAGTTATTTACTAGAATAAACCATTTATAGGCAGTTGACTCATTCAGAATCTTAGTAACTTTTCTTAAGCTATTTTTGATATGTGATAAAATACCGACTTATGTGGATATAGACACACGAGTTTTCTTTAAAAGATATAAGCCTGTCGATATAATCTGGATGACGAATTAGTTACAGTTCAATTTTCAGACAATCGTCTCCTAACCACCATATCAAAAATCCAACACTTTGAATTATTTTAGGGATAGAGCTGGTCATCAAAAGGAATATGTAGCTAACGGACTAACGTGTGACACTGGAAGTGAATACCAAGCAGCGAATTCCTTACTGGTAGAAAATCAAAATATGCCTCGCCATTAATTAAATGTAGATATGAAGGTAGTTTTGTTTTATATGATTAGTGATATTATAGACAATTAAATATAATCTAAAAGACTCGTTCATCCACCACAAGATATTTTGATCCTAGTGATCTATGAAAGAAGAATTGTAAACGAAAATAGTGTATCTACCTGATCACCTGGTTCGTATGCCTCCATTGTATTGAAAACCAGTTCGTCCATTTCAGGATCATAGTGTGTCGTAACCTACATAAGAAAATGTGGGAAAGAAAATCTGTGTATGAAAGCATACGTATTTGTTAACAAGTACTGATCAACAGAAAAATTCATCTTGGTACAAAAAATTCAATTAAGTGATGGGAGGTATTCCGTTATTAGAGACAGATATTAAATACATACACAATACTGATTACAAAATGGCTTCAAAAAGTGATTGTATAACACGTTGGGTAACTGATATGAAATATTAACCAATATAGAAAAGAAAAACTCGACACCTAACCATAATTTGCATGATATCATGCCCGAATTTCGCATGAAAACTTAACAAGTGTGATTTTTCATAGCAAAGCAGACATATAATGCCTGTATATTACAGTAAAAAAAACCAATCTCGTCGTTGATAATTTTTTCTCCAGTTGAAATATGCAAAAACTATAAAAATAACTTTGAACGGCACTTAATGCCACAAATATTGTCTGCACTTAGGATTACTACCACATAGTCTCAGATATCTTGCAAGGATGAAATCTTGACAAACACATAACTCTGTCGGTAAGGAGAACCTTATCATCAAAGAAATAATATCCTGAAGGTGCTATGACATTTTTTTGTTTTTACTTTAATATCACTTATATTCTTTTGATAGGTCTGAAAGAAGTTTATGGTGGTATATTAGACGTTAAAAAAAGACTTATCAAACTGTATCCCTGTTTTTTTTCTTACAGTGAAATGAAAGACTTAAATATGAGGGAATCATTGTCTGTATATGGTATGCTATTGTACTTGATGAATCGTTGGGTCACCTTTTTCTCTTCGTCTTTTCCCTTCCAGATTCTCGTGGTCACCATCAAACTCACACTACTCTACGCGCCCCCCTGTAACAACGTAGCTACCTACAGGCTAAACGAGAACGTATCAACAGCTGGTCGTTACACTATGTGCCATCCATGCAGAAATCCCTTAACAAGATTAGTAGAAGACTGTGGTTGCACTTGATAGTAAACTACCAGAAAGGAAAATGTGTTAGTGCTGATAAATTCGTCGAAGGTAAGAAATTAATATTTTTCAGTAAGAGCCCAAACAATATCCAGTTATATGGACCGTTTGGATATTCCTCTGACTGTTAACAGTCGGGTGTACAGTCTTTCGGTAAAAAAAAACTCTGCTTTACGCTTATTAAATCCTGCACATACGATCTGAGGATTTTCGACGCTTTTTATATACTTTCGGCTATTTAGTGTTTTAGGCAGCCATAAGAACTACGTAGCCCACTGTTATGCCATAACCTCTTGCTGAATTATAACTCTCAGTCAAAAACAACAAAAAACAAATGCAAAGATGACTAGGCTTGTTGTAGGGAACGACAAATCCATAATACTGAGCTAAATCACATGAAAAGTCGGTAACCTTACTTCCGCTAATATAGCAGGTTAGATTATACGGCAGGTAAGAATGAGTGAAAAATTTCCCAGCCACTTTGGTCGAGGAAGGTTTACAATCTCACAACCTGACTTCTTTTACCTATGAATCTATACCAAACCTCTTAGTTACACAGTAGTTTTACAATACGCGGTGAATACGACAATGACGGAGGTAAACTACACGATCGCTATCTACATCCTCAGGCAGTTGACGTTTTGACTTTGCGAGCATTCACGTCAATCAAGTTTACCTCTATTATTCCATATATTTTGAGAGTACCTCAAGAAGTATCCTTTCATCCATTGCGCAACTAAAATGTGTTAACTGCTCCCTTACTTTTATCCTCACTCAAGTTCGTTATGATCAAGATTACCCCTGTATCTCAACACCCTTAAAAGTCTTGCCATATTTCTCTGTTAATAGTTTGACATCACTGGAGGAAGGATTTCAGTTTTAGCTAGGGGGTCACGGGTTGGAAACTCACTCCTGCTTCCAAACTCTGTGGATCATTGCCTCTTGCATAAAAGTAGTACATATGGTTCATGAGTCGTACTGCATTGACTCTTGAAGCCCATGATAACGATTCCAGTTCAAGGAAAAGCACTTTTCGGCTCCTGAAGCGAGTGGACATAACGCTGTTAAGATAAGTAATTAAAAAATGTAGTAGTTGACGGGAACTTCAGAGTCATTTCGTTTTGCTATTCTTTTGTAAAACGCAGGAACTAGGTTTAGTAAGGGAACTTGGGAAATCATACAAACAAACCATAAAAAATTAACAATGTTTTTAGAAATAGAAAATAGAAATAGATAAACATAAAAAACTGCGGCAGAAACCAAGCTTAACCCATCCTCCAATAATGAGATTGTTTTAATAGTTCCTTCGTCACCAAAACAGCAAACTAAAGGTACAGCTAATGATGGATAGTGGTTAGCAGCGAAATCCAGGGCACGCGTTTCGTCCTGCACCTGGAGCTCGTCAGCTGGGTGCACCTGCCTCCCAGTGAGCGATATTGTTCCCACTAGGACTACAACAACATTAAAGATCCACTTAACTAATAGTGGCTCATAACTCACATGGCCGAATTTGTGATTTATCATATCCCAGACTGGGATGAGACACATGATTTTATCCCTTCCGTTAGAATGAGGTATGTAATTGCTCCTACTCATCACTGTCGACACAGCCCATCTAGATATGTGAAACGAAAAAGGTTGATAAGACATTATTAAAATAATGTTAAAACAATGAAATAACAAAATTAGAGACGTACTGGTCATCTAATCCATTTCAACGTGCACTATTACTCTGAATGCCTAGGCATGAAAACAAGTTTATACAGAATAAAAACAAACTTTCGATGAACACGATGACTTAGTAATATGCTTCACTTTTATGAAGTAAGCTGTAAATTGTGTGACGGTCAGCAGTACTAACTAATTATGGAAATCTTGAGTGAAGCGAAAGCTGCACCTATTGTTTATTATCAGTCATATCGCAAACCCCTTTTTTTCTAGTACTACTGGTTTTATAACTTCTTATCAGTTGCGCGTGATAATCTGGACTATCGTGATGGATGAATGAAAATAACGTATCATGCTGCAACATTTGAGTACTGTAAACTATTTTCTAGTCTCCTCTCTTTACAGATGTGAACACGGTCATCGACAACTTGGAAGCAGTAACAAACCAATCAATCCCAAGAAATGGTTCAACTAACACTTTTCAGTACCATATATGAAAAATGACTAGGACCACATTATCGGTTAACAATTCTTAATAATGAAAAAACATTTTTAAAGGACTGAAATACTATCAAATACTAGGCTCGGAAAATTATCTTTGAAATTTATAAAACACGAATTAGTGGATGTCTTATCTTCAACTAGCAGATGAAAACAGTCTTCATAAAATTCTACGCAATTTATATCAGTTAATCACTATCGAAACGGGACATGGTGTTGATGTGCAACAGGTAGATTTCATACACTACATGTTTTAGCGTCAACATACAAAGCACTAAGATGAAAGAAGGATAGCAAGAAAATGCAGTCAAAAGCTATAGAACGTCGTAAGAAAAGATGGGTCAACCTAAAAACGGAATGAAATATGATAATTAGGATGAAGTTTCCAAAAATTAGTTCTCTCGACAAACTTCAACAAAACAACCGTGTAGTGTATTTAAGCAATACATATTCAGGAAACAGATAAAATACACACACACTTGTTATACATATTTATGTGAGATATCATACGGAGGAAATATGAAGTCAGATAATACGGCTCAACTGAAGACCAAAGCAGTGGTGAAAATCAATCGGGTAAGAAACATTACATTAACCAAGATTTAATGTGATAAACTGTTCTGAATACAAAAACATGGCTTAAACTCCTATGTAGCTAAAAGCTACAAAAAGATTAGAAGCCATCCCCAACACATTTCGTAAAGATATAAAGAATGTTAAATGTCAATCTTGAGACTCGTACCAATGTCACGTCTCGCAATTGAAACAGCTTGGAGACATATTGCCCACGTTCACGAGATCGGGTGATCTGATCGGCTTCGGAAACCACTTTGATACATGAGCTCTCCATGCAGGTGCCAGCACACATACATTTAAAGTGGTAGACGATGGGGTATGATATCATCGTTCACATGTAAGTGTTTCGAAGAGTAAACCGCTTGGTTTTTATCAACTTCAGCCTATCAGTGTAGTATGTCCTTTCAATAGCAGCGTAAAGTCTACGTTCAGGGACCACGATATGAAAGTCATCTCTGTATGCGGGGTTGAAAACGTCTTTTTCAGATGCAAGGAGGACAAAAATAAGTCAATATCACCATATGATCTGGAATTATTACACAACTGTTTAATTTGTCACACCTGTCAGCATATCAAGCGCTAAGGCACCAAAATACAAGATAAAAGTGATCAAACATGGTGAAAAGTCGTGGAAAGGGAACAAGAAACAATAAGACAATAGTGAAATTTGGCATAACTATTAAGATGAAAACAATACATAGGATTCATGTTACTCAAAGTCTCCAACCATCGATTTCAATAGTGAGGTGAACCCTAACTGAGAGGTCTAAATTCCACTACACAACTGAGATCAACAGTCAAAGACTTCATGGACTTATGCCATGTTTTACTCTGGTCATGCCTTACCTTTCTCCAGCCTGAACCTACTTCAACTAACATTACGCGACGGGGTAGAAGGTTACTAGACATGAATAACACGCGTCCCAGCCACCTCAGTCAATGAAGGTTCAGCATCTCACCGAGTGATTTCCCTCTTTTGTCCTAAACTCAGCACCTTACTTCTACCCTACTGACGTCATGGCACCACGATATAGCCTATGCTGCGAACACCTGAAGCCTCCTCATGCTCTAACTTTAATAGCTATGCTTCATAGTCGTATGGTAGAACAGAGCCAACTGCTGCGCAGTACACAGCCCTTAATAGGCAATTAGGCGTCACGCCGGCACCATAAGTCACGTAGTTTGTCGAAGGTCAGGCGAGTTTTTTTTTGTCTATGTACATATTTCGTCGGTTACTGACCTATCAGGGCTGTTACGACCTCCTGGGTAAGTGAAGTGATCAACGTGCTCAACCGTTTTACTCCCTATTTTAGACGGGATGTCTACCCAGATCAATCCTACAGCAAGAATTGGGATAGTGAGAAACGCATCCCAAACAATTTCAAACTACCAACCAAGATGTCCAATAGACTCTGCATCTTGTCAGTGTCTTCATTTAACACGACTATGTCACCTCTGTACTCCGGATCTATTGGGGAGTCGCCTGTGACAAGATCAATTCCTGTAAAGTCAAATGATGAGAGGGAGCCACGAGAGCATTCTTTCATAAATCCATCCTGGTGGGGTGTAAAGAAGCAAATTGACATCAAGTGACCGCTTAGTCCATAGTAAATAAATGATTTCTTAACCTTTGAAGGCATGGATGGGAGATCAATAAGCCTGTAATTCTTCATGTTTTTTTTTCCTTGGCCTCATTTGAAGATCATTTTCACGTGGCCTATCCTGTTAGAAATGAGTACTTCACTTTGATTTTGCGAATATTTAAATAATCTACTTACAGTTCCCACCAAGAGAGGTGCTGCTTCTGGCAGAACCATTATATAGATTGTGTCCAGTCCCAGAGAAGTGTCGTTTGGGAGCGGCAGCGACTTGCGCTGTACCAGCTCAACACTTAAGTCAACGATCGAGTCTTACACGGTTAGTGGAATATTCGTGTACTTCTGAGGTTCAAGAGTCCTACCACTTGTGTTGCTAATATTTAACTCGATGAGTTCAGTCAGTTGGGACAGCCGTTTTGGCATGCCTAAATGTTGCAGCATGACGGAATAGCTTTCTGGGGTTATGAACAATCATGCCTGTAATCCCAACTTGATGCTTACCTGCCCTGAATGATTTCGTGTAAATTTCTCGTGTTTAGTTAGTTTGTACGTCTTCAGTGTCAATCCTTTTGTATACGATTCAAATAAAGCTTTATTTTTGCAATGACATTCTGATAACATTGTCACATCAAATAAAGTTAATTTATATCGATGTTTATATCCTGGAAATAAAGTAGTTCGTAATCATACAAATACACCTTTTAATACATGGCTCGTTATGAAGTTTAGTCAGTTTAGAAATGGGTGCGATTATTTGACTCGTGGGAAGTCGCATGAATTGACACTATATTGTCGTAAAATTCACTAACAAGTGTGATCTTTTGTCAAACGCCACAGTTACCCAGGATAGGGAAATATAACCCTCTTGCTCATAAGTGTTTTCAATCATGACACACCTAGAAACTAAAAGCAACGGTAGTCAGCGAAGAGTTATTCTATAACAAGTGGTGAATCCATTCCTGTATTTCGTACCACGGCGTCAATATACCAAACACAAAGGAATAAAAAGTACAAAGTAAAAGAAATATTCGACGTAAAAAACCATAACAAGTGATGACGGAGTGAGAAAACTACCGAATACCTAGCCAATTAAAGAGGAATAAATGTGCGAATGCATCTGTGCTACTTCAATCGATCCAGAAAATTTTCACCTGGAGTGTCCCACCATCGACTTCAATTGTGACGAGGATTATAACGGAAAAGCTCCTATTCCTTAAATGACCCACAGTAAAGGCCAGCAATTCTTGGAGCTCAAATTCCTGTTTAAGCTGATCACCTCACACCTTTTTCCACCATAAACCTACTTCAGCTAACTTTCTGCGACCTTAGTTACAATGAACGAGGCTTCAGGTATTCAACAGATCTAATAGCTCATGTGAAATAAATACCTACAGGTATTATCACATTTCCTATTTCGTACCAAAAAGAATAAGTAACACGTAAGTAAGTTGACGACCCAGACCTCGAAATTATACAGAACCGCAGACGATTGAAACGGAGAAAGAACAACTAACCGTTTCATACAACCGCCTGCTAATAAATAATGACGAATTCGAAGCACTCACAATTAGATGCGTGACGAACTCCCCAAGAATAGTGCGCAAAAATACTCATCGCGATGACGAGTAAATAATCATAATAAGTGAAGTTAAACAGAACATCATCCCGATTTCCTTACTATAAAGTAACCCAAGGCTAACTTATTCAACAACATGGTTACTGACCTGTAATCCTTGAAACAGAAAACAAAGTTCGGAACGTTCACAATTTTCGGGTTTTTCATGAATTGACAGCAGAAGTAGGCATACTGACGACAGATGAATAGGTAGTTGGTTGCAACCTTTTCTAAGACATCAGGTAAGTAAGGGAGGGTCGAAATTACCTAAGGTCGGTGAGCCCTTCAGATGTCGAATATCGGCAACACTCATATAAAGAAATATGGAATAATCAGACGGCAACGACTCTGTACATGGGGTTATGGCGAAACACGTTACTTATATAATCCTGCCACGGTGAATTATCTCCTTCGTAAAGCTCACCCAACAAACATAGGCACAATGCGACGTTTTCCATGTTCGATGCCAGAGAATCCTGTGATATGAATTCCCCTAAAGGCTGTGACCCTGAAAACTCCAACATACTTAAATTTTTACTTGAATTTTCTAAGCAGCAAACAGCTCTTCTGGGCACAGTGATAAGTTGATCACCTTCCTAAAAATGCAAAATAACCCATTATTACCTCAATGGGAACCAAGGCACGAAGTCCAAACCCGAATTCTTTGAACCAGTGGACGGCACACATGTCAGATGCATAGCCTCCAACTGAAGAAAGAGTAACCTCCAAACATGCCTTCCTAGAGCCCCGAGACTCCAACTTGGATACGAATGAATACTCTAGACAGTCACTATTAGGGAAAGCACCTCACCTTCTTGAATAGCCATGATTTCAGATGTGAGAGAATGGAACGCTTCCAACGACTCAATCGCATTACACGGGGTAATTTTCGAACTTAGACATACTAACCAGTAAGTAATGACAATAATTACATTCCATAAGTTGTGCAGCAAGTGCTGCTGTCCTGTCACACACCTGACGATAACTCATTTTGGATATATTTCTTTTTGACATTTCCAATATCCAATATTGATAGCGTGAGTGTAAAAAAACTGATAGTTTTTGACCTATCGCGTCTAGTTCTTAGAGCCACAACTGCAGGCTAGTTAGTTACGCATGCTTACGAAAGCTGCTCCCCGGGACTTGCAGTGCAATATTCAATGTGTTGAGAAGAAGTGTAGACGAGCAGAGAGCTTATTTAAAGTCCTGGATAACTGACAGAACTGTCGAGATTCACTTCCAACTTGAGAAACTTATTTCAAGCTACTTTTAAAGCATACCACAGCAGAGTGTTGTAGCGACCAGCTGTTGCAACGTTTTTGCCCAACCTTCAAGTAGGCACGTTGTTGCAACGGGGAGCATAGAACAGTGCGTTTGATGGTGATCACGAGAATCTGGGAGGTATAAGAGAAGGATAAAAAAGTAAGCTGAAGACTCAGCAAGTACACAGTATGTACTTTCACTGAATAATAAAAGATAACTTACAGACGTTAGAGCTTGACAACGAAGAAGTGAGGCAGTGTTGAAATCGAAACTGGGAGGTGAATGAGTAAGATTTCGAATACTTCATAAGCATTAAAGTCTCACTGTTCTCAAAATAATCATTTAGATTTGGAGTTTGAAGATAGAAGTATGTGACCCAATATTAGTCTTTTTCCTTCAGTCTCTCCGCTGGTTTAGTTTTCTTTTGACCCTTTCAATTGACGACACTGACACCACCTTTTCTATTAGCCGGTTACGGTAATTAATTACTCCAGTGGAAAGTCACTGCTCTACAGAGTCTGTATTCTTGATTTTTATTTGTATTCTACTATTGCATTCTGAGGCGTCGTGTTATTGTGAGGAGGAAAAGAGAAAGCAAGTCAGTTTCAAAGCAATTTCTTCCAATCCTGAATATCATGACTAGATGTCGTCTTTATGTGTGATAGTATGCGGGGAAGTTTTTCAGCTCGTTCTCCTTAGGTCAAGACAGACTTCTTCGGGATCATACGGATGGCCATTCTCTGAACTCTTTCTAGATGGTCTGAATCACCTTTTAGACAAGGACTTGCTGCCCGCATACAGTTTTGTATGTTGGAACTGACTTGCAACATGCATAAGGTGACGAACATGTCATCGATTAATTTTATAACCCCCTGCGTAGTGCTGATAGAGTGCTAAATCTACAGGCTGCGGTCGGTCAAGAGTGCTCCGTGTTCCACAGATCATATTCTGACGTGACACTGGAGTCACTGCGGGTCAATACTGAGGGTAGAGGAATCCCATCAACACCGTGTGTTTTGCCATCAGTACACCTAATCTACATGCTCACACGCTTACCTGCGTTGACAGGCATCAGCTGTTTCTCTGGCCGGATTAAAAACTGTTTTAGTCTGTCTGAAGTGCACCTACATTCTCGTCATCCCTAATTTTCGGCCACATTTTACAATTATCGGCTCAAAGTAGCATAGGGAATTTCGTCGCCCTCGGTGGTTCATCCGTTCCTTGTGGCACTGCACGATGAACCGAATCCCTCAGTGAAGTAGCTAAATACTAGCAGTCTGGGAACTCCATCGCCTAGTCGTCGGCTGTTATTTCCCAATGTTTCTTTAAATGCTTTATGAGCGCAAATACCATCTGTTAAAATGAATACCAGAAGAAACTCTTTCAACTCTTAATTGTAGGTGCGAAGTTTATGAAGTCACCGTCTGAACGTGGACTAACAAAACATGTTGAATAGAATGAAAGTAGACGTTTGCTCAGTTTTCAGAAGGATTATTAAAGCAGATATAACGAACCTCTAAAACTTTTTTTAGTCCATAGTGAACTGAAAGTTGCTTAAGTTTTGCTTAATGGATGCTGAAATTGCATACTCGGACCAGAATTTCTGCCTGCTCCCTTATTTTCAAGGTTCTGGTAGTAACCTAAGTAATTAAGGTCCTCAAAGACCGACGCCGGACAACACGCACCTGAAACACTTTCCACCGATTTCTAGTGGTGTCAAGGCAGGCAGCAAGACAAATTTTGATCTTATTTGTGAAATACTTGCCGTCGTACTGAGAAAATCGTTCGCCTCAAGGAGTCGTGATTGCATGAACTTTAAATTAATCTTTTTGGGAGCTTTCAGGTTGAGCCACTGTAAACCAGGTTCAGCAACTAATTTTTGTCACGGATGTGATTTTCCGCAAAACTACACGGAAAGATTATCACTGAACCCTCAAAGTTCTGTTTGCACTACACATTTTAGTATTCCATGGTGTTCAGGCCAAGTGATTTATTTTCTTTTATGGGTCGCAGAAGTTGGCCTAAGCGTTCCTTCCACGCACATTTTGTCAACTGATCCAACAGCAACAACTGTTCATCCCCCATTTCGACAGTATCAACCCAGTATGGAAGAATTTGGATGAAAACGTAATGGGGCAGTTGGCTGCCAAGTGCCTTCAAGAAACATTTGGGCACTGTCAGGATAATCATAACAAGTGTATTTGAAATGCGTATTCACACACGATAATGGAGTATAATTTCGGTAATATTTCGAGTAGCTGTCATCCGTGGTCATATCAGTCGTTGGAACCACTTGCTCACGTGCTTAAGGATGGGTTTCACGCGCATTATGTTAAGGCCACATACGTTCCCCTTTTTTATCTGGTGCCATGTTCCATCCTGTTGGCAGCCAGGCCAGCTCAACTTTATTGCATGTGTTTGGTGAGTAGGTTCTGCTACAAGACGCTTTATAACTTCCAAGACCTCTTCTCATAAAGTGGAATCGAAATCGTCTAAATGAGAATGGGGATTAAAACTTTGTTTAACCTGGTCTCAACCCACCCCCACGAACTTAGATAATCGATATATATACGATAAGAACTATGGATACATGCAAACAATTCTCAGTCTGTAATCGGTACACTAATCACGCGTAACACCCTACACATGGACATCACTTTTATTCTCCAGTTCCGACCACGTAGAAACATCCATGCAGAAGAGCACCTGTCAATTTACCATGCATAAGCTTGGATTTCGTAAATTCCGGTTCTCTATAACTCTGAGAAAGCTGTTAGCACCAAATGACGAAGCGTCGGTTTGAAGAAATTTATTTTCCTTCGAGTTCATTAGGAAGTGCAAATGAAAAAGCAATGAGTGGTATTCAAGATGTTCATATACAAGACATCCAACGCCTCTACCTCACTAATCTTAATATTCCCCAGTCTCTCTGCTAGTTCTAAGGGGTCAACTAGTTTGCTTGTGAAGTATCTCATATTAATCGTGTTATGTTGGCAAGAAACCTTGGTAACATGTACGTCGATGCGCTTCTAAAACCTCCTATTAAACCTATTAGATACCTCTGTTTATCTAGCTTTAAACTTTGATTTATTCTGGCCATGGTACGAGGCCCTGGTGTGGTTTGAAATCTTTTGAACTCACGATTAGTCTGTCCCGTTTCCCTGACCACTCCTGCTATCTTTTTCCAATTTCAAGAACTGATTGTTTCAAGTAACTTGTTAGTCATGGAACAAGGTCCGGATAGGTATTCATTCGTTGTTCCACTACGAACCGTTTTGGTTGGAATCACAGGTTTATATCTTATGCCTGCCAGATCAGTTATTACAGATTTATCTGGTTTTAGTTCTAAGTGCCATCCTCTCCTTGTTGGCGATACCGAATCATGATTTTTTTTTCTTAGCCTAAACGCACTACTATTTCTTCTGATTTGCCTGTCTTTTGGTCATATCCTCTTGACTCTATCTCAGAGCCACGCACAACATATACCAAGAGTGTCTTGTTGCAGGAGCTGAAGTTTCTTCCTTTGCTCAAAGCTACTTATTTCGCTTGAACTAACCATCGTTTTGAAATAAAAATAACTGAATTTGACTCCTTAGCATGTGCATCAGTTGTCGTTCTAATGCCAGCAGGTCCATTAAATCTTCACTTTATCGTTATTTGGATAAAATCCTTGTGATAAAGCGCCTATTACGAACATATTTACTATGGCGGCTAGGAAGTCTGCGCTCAGAAGTAAACCCGCAATACACAATACATAATTCTTAGTATTCTCACTATCGTAACTAATAGAAATGGCTAACTTATGGCTGTCTGAAATAGGGAGTGCACCGGTTAGTTCTTGATATCGGCGGTCTGGTATCTAACCACTGAGTTATCTAACCAGTTTATTTGGTACTTTTCCGACGTAAACAGTCCCGCCCTCGCAGCACATGTTCACCAGTCTAAGCAGATCTCCTTTTACGCCGAAAAGGTGACTGCATCTGCAGTGCGTTTTAAAATCAAGCATCTTGAATCCGAAGAGGTAGAATGAGTTTCCTCTGTGAAGTAAAACAGTGCTGATGCAGTATGGACACCGACTTCATGCACGTGATCCTATTCTAGCAACTTTTGATGGGAAACAAAATATGAGGAAAGAAATTTCCACACTGAGCAGTACGATAATCTGAAGAAGCATGTCACTTATTATGAAGAACACTCGTTTGAATTGGACAGCCTGCTTGCGACTCGCAGGAAATTCGTTATTAATAACCCAGACTGAGAATGCTACGACAGTAGCAAGAGACAGTTTCCCTTCGTGCTCAAGGCTGCCACCACCGTACACCAACACGAAGAAGAACAGTCCGACAGTCTCGACGCGACAGCCACCAGGGAAACCGTTCTGAGAAACAATGTGACTGTGCCTGTCCCATCGGTGAACGAGATCATTCACCACTGCACACAACTTTCTGCACCATTTGGCACGCCTCAAGCTATGAGGAGAATCTTCAAGTATCTTTGCAGCCATGTGCGGGGACTTGGAGGTGAGATGGTGGGGCTGCAGATTCTCTGTCCCTACCTTCAGACAAGAACCGTAATCTGTTTTCAGATGTTGGCGCCGTCAAAGTGAATATAGGCTGCATGCTTGTGCCCAGGCGAGACATGGACACTGTACTTACAGGGCTCATAGACTCATTCTGATGCCCCGTTGTGATCGGATGCACTAAGTATCTGGGTCCACCAACCCCCCATTAACAAAGTGGAGTGGAACCGATAACCCCTCACGATGACATATCTGGTGGCAACTATGGGGTACCGTTGGGTTAACATTTGATCCGGTTATGATGTCCCACATTATTTCTCAGCGGTGGTCAGTTGGCAAAGAACTGCGTGCCTGAATGGGCGATGCTTTCAAAATCCATGGGTTCGTCGCCACACAGTTCGCCTTGCTGAAGCAAATGCAAGGGAGGGATTACTCACCCTTCAGTCACTCGCAGATTACGGAGGGCAAAACACTGCCACGGCGTAATCGTCGCCAACAAGCAAAGTCTGAACCTGCAGGTGTCACCGAGCGAGTTGATCACTGTTGAGAATGTGGCCCAATATTAACGTCATTGAACTCGACTCCTAACAAGTGACATCACCGTGCTCTTGATACAATCTAGACTTTAAATAAGCTCTCTGCTCGTCTACACTTCTTCTCAACACATTGAATATTGCACTGCAAGTCCCGGGGAGCAGCTTTCGTAAGCATGCGTAACTAACTAGCCTGCAGTTGTGGCTCTAAGAACTAGACGCGATAGGTCAAAAACTATCAGTTTTTTTACACTCACGCTATCAATATTGGATATTGGAAATGTCAAAAAGAAATATATCCAAAATGAGTTATCGTCAGGTGTGTGACAGGACAGCAGCACTTGCTGCACAACTTATGGAATGTAATTATTGTCATTACTTACTGGTTAGTATGTCTAAGTTCGAAAATTACCCCGTGTAATGCGATTGAGTCGTTGGAAGCGTTCCATTCTCTCACATCTGAAATCATGGCTATTCAAGAAGGTGAGGTGCTTTCCCTAATAGTGACTGTCTAGAGTATTCATTCGTATCCAAGTTGGAGTCTCGGGGCTCTAGGAAGGCATGTTTGGAGGTTACTCTTTCTTCAGTTGGAGGCTATGCATCTGACATGTGTGCCGTCCACTGGTTCAAAGAATTCGGGTTTGGACTTCGTGCCTTGGTTCCCATTGAGGTAATAATGGGTTATTTTGCATTTTTAGGAAGGTGATCAACTTATCACTGTGCCCAGAAGAGCTGTTTGCTGCTTAGAAAATTCAAGTAAAAATTTAAGTATGTTGGAGTTTTCAGGGTCACAGCCTTTAGGGGAATTCATATCACAGGATTCTCTGGCATCGAACATGGAAAACGTCGCATTGTGCCTATGTTTGTTGGGTGAGCTTTACGAAGGAGATAATTCACCGTGGCAGGATTATATAAGTAACGTGTTTCGCCATAACCCCATGTACAGAGTCGTTGCCGTCTGATTATTCCATATTTCTTTATATGAGTGTTGCCGATATTCGACATCTGAAGGGCTCACCGACCTTAGGTAATTTCGACCCTCCCTTACTTACCTGATGTCTTAGAAAAGGTTGCAACCAACTACCTATTCATCTGTCGTCAGTATGCCTACTTCTGCTGTCAATTCATGAAAAACCCGAAAATTGTGAACGTTCCGAACTTTGTTTTCTGTTTCAAGGATTACAGGTCAGTAACCATGTTATCCACTCTGTTAGTCTTTTCATTACTTCGTGTTATTCGTTCGTTGATTTCCTCATGGGACATAAGGCTTGGGTGGCACTTCGCATGGCACTCTGTTGCCTTCAGCCCTTTGAACCTGGCTCTGTGTTTCTGATTTCTTTCTCACATCGTCTTTTCTGTGTCAGCTCCCTCTCGGAGGAGCGTGCCTTTTGGGTGTTAGGGTCCTTGACTGGTTCGTTGACAGAGTTTTCTGTTGCTTGTTCCGATTATACTAGCCATAATCAAACATATCTTTGTTGTGGCGGTACGTTTGAAATTGTGTTACATTTTTACGTGACTTCGTAACTGTATCATAACTTTGTTGTTAACGTTGTCGCAAGGCCATTGAATTCTCAAATGGCTGATCACATATCAGACATGCAACCAGATTCGGCTAATGCATGCAAAGAAGCACGGACGCAACTGTCTATGGAACAGTGCATCAACAATACCCAAATGTTGGTGACACCAAAAGCAGATTCCTCTTGCAACAGCATAAGTGAGTCAGCTTATACTACAGTTATGCTCAAGAGAAGAAGAACTGCGTTCAATAGGAGAGCCACTTTTAATAATAACAGAAGTACCTCTGCATGCCCAACATGCAATAAGACCGCAACACTAAATGTTGCAGAAGACGTGAAGCTTAATGGAAATCCACATCTTCTGTTAGACTAACTAGACTTCTGCCACCAAGTGTGTCATTGTCACTTCTTCCAGAAATCGAAAGCCTGAAGTCCTCCACAGAGGAACTTAAGGCAGAAATACGCAGACTAAAAGATGACAAACAGAATAATGCACCACAAGAAAGTATGTTAAGGGCGTTCGAGGTGTCACCCCAGCTAGATGAAATTGGGGCTCAGATTAGCAACCTCTTGCCACTGAGCATCTTGACGCGTAGTGAATCCATTAATGAAGTTGACATCTGAACACTACCCAAGGTAGATCACCCGGTGAGCTTTAACACCACTGAAGTAAGTAAGAGACTTGCACTTAAAGTGAATGCAGTGGTTTATAACGTTCCTGACACGACAAAGTTGAAGGCGGTGAGAGAAACTTTGCTTAGAACAGCGAAAATGCATGATGTCCGAGCAAAATGTTTCCTATCAAAAAAGGCCAGCAGGACCACTGCTGTCCGATACGCTTTCAATTTAAATCACAGATAGAAGCGGAAGCATTCATCAAAGCAGAATTTATCTTAGCAAAAAAACGCTGTCTTCACAGGAATAAAGATAGTTCTTGATAAGACAGTGGTGGAGAGGCAGGTACACAACTGTGCTCATAGACCTGACAGTCAAAAGGCTCCAAAGCTGCAACATACTGAAGCAGTAGGTATCTCCTCCCATATACCCAAGCCTAGGGCTTCTCCTTCCACAAACTCTATCAAGTCAAATATGCGGAAAAACACACCGACCAACGTGGAGATGGAAGACTGTGAAATGCATGATTTGACTCAATCACCTGAAACTGTAGATCTAGACTTATCCATAGAAAGCCCCAAAGTGAAACCTGACACAGCGCTAAACGTGACAGAACTCTCGCTAAGGTCTACTGCAGGCCTAAAGTCTACTAAACACACCAGCCTAGATCCTAGGATATCGGTCACTCGATATGCAACGGATAAATCAATGCTGCCATAGAACCCAACACGTGGAGACAGACGCGGAAAGCATATAATGATCCGAAATGATCCGTAATCCCTTCTGGAACTGACAGAAGTATGAATGGTAGCTCCACCAAGAAGGTCGTATGCACTGAGCTAAGTCTCACTAGTAACGAGAACAAAAATAGACGTCACGACAACCCAACCCTATCGTTTACTAATGAGAAAAGCCAATATCAAATCACCCATAATAGAATGTCAGCGGGGTACTTTGTAAGGAAAAACTTCGGTTGGCTGCATGGCACTAGTTTATCACGAGACGGCCCCCGATACAACATAACGCCAGTTACGTCCGTTGTGAATTGTAACAGAAGGCAGTCACTGGTAAGGAATACAACACTAATCAGAAGTGTACATGGACCACAAAAACACGATGGTTTTTTATCCATTGCATCCCTATCGGCTGCAGCTTTGGCCAAACAACTGATGGGGATGTTGAAACCTCTTACACTGAACCGCTAATCTTAACGCCCTCGGAGCAACAGAAAAGACACGGTCAAACATACGCACAAATCCTAGACACCGACTACCCAAGTGGTGTCAACAGATGCGAAAGCACAACAGGTCTGTTGAATCCTCCAAGTGGTATCACCAGCCCTACACACCCACCACGTACAATAGCAGAACTGCCTGCCCTCTGTGTAACAGGTACTAGAGACGATGCTTGCATGCGGTCAAACTCTGTTTATTTGGATACAATGTGCACACTGAACACAAATAAAAACATTGCTCTGTTCTCCCCTGATAAAGGTGATACTATTTCGTCACTGTGCAGCCGATTTACCACCAGGATATCCTAGTAACTGTACAGCTACAAGTGAATAAGGTGTAGAGACGTTCTGTAACGCAACGACATCAGGCTATACCCAGTCAAGCGACACTGAGATACCTTTGGGCTTGTTTAGCGATCTAGGAAGCTTTGCACACCATTTTTCCTCCTACTTGTACATCGTTCTCATAAACGCAAGGTCCGTCCCTGGCAAGCTATCGGTATTGAGAGGAATCGCGCTCATATATAAGCCGCCGGTAATAATTATTGCTGAGTCTTGGTGTCACGCAAATATAACAGATGAGGAGATAAGTATTGACATGTATACACAATTCCGATGTGACCGGAGTAACAAGAAAGGAGGAGGTTACCTGGTGTACTTCCTGAACACTCTCACCGTATTCAGGTTGGAAAATATGGTTGTTGATACAGTAGGTGACTCTCTATGGGTCACAGTACACTACAGGAATGTTACTGCATTGGTGGGATGTGTTTGCAGAGCACCTGGTACCCTTAACAATCATGAGATTCCACTGATTACGGCTCTGTAACATGCATCCACTCTCCCATATGATCATAAGATCATATGCGGTGACTTTGACCTGCGTGGAATTAAGTGGGATTCACTCGCTGGTCCGGATAGGTATGACAACGTTTTCCATGCACTGTCTATTTTTGGATGGAAGCAAATTGTTTTAACTCCTACAAGAGATGACAATGTACTGGACTTCATATTTTGCCACAAAATAAATCCTATTTTGACAAGTGTAGGTTCCAAGTTCCCAGGAAGTGATCACAGTACGTTACTATGTGCACTGCAACTTCCTGCAACCAGTACTTCAAATGGCACTTCTACTACACACAAAACAGTATGTAGAGACTAAGGTAGAACGGATTGGCAGCAGATGTGTCCAATGATTAGGTGCATTGACTGGGATCATTCTTCTCCACTACAGACCTCAAATTAACCATTGATATGTTTTACTACAACTCTAAAACCAGTCTCGATACCATCGTTCCACTGGAAGGTTTCAAAAAATGTCACTAAACAGTAAGCTATATCTTATATCTTATATCTTCTGGTGACAATAGGTGGGGATTGAGATTACCTTCCATGAAGATGAACGTAACTTTTATATCAACGTATTCATACCTGTAAAAATGGTGTGTGCCCGTATATTCAGGAATAAATACTATTATTATTATTTGATCTTCGGCATCAAGCGTGGGCGGCAGCTGTTGACGAATGTCTGCTTTTCGCGACTAGCCAGTTCTCTTGAGTATATAGACGCACTGAAATGACGTTGATGTTGAAAATCTGAATCTCCTTCTTTATGCTCAGTGCAGCAGACTTCCACACTGATTCCGGATTAATGAAAGCCTATCTTGTCTCTCCAGTTCTGTCTTTGACATCCCCATCTTTTCCGCCGCCTGTAGTTGAAACGATGCTGCCTAGGTAGGTGAAAGAGACAACCTCGTTTACGTTTCTCCCAATATCAGTCATTGATGCATGTTGTTGGTTGAGTATCTTCCTCACCTTTGTCCTCTTTACGTTCACTTGAAGTCCCGTTTTCACTGTTTCTTCTGTCAACTTGTTAGTCTTTTCCTGCAGATCTTCGAGTTTTGCGGCATTGGACATAAATCATCATTCGCGGCGAAATCCAAATCTTCTAGGCTCTTTTCATCTGTCCAGTCAATGTATGCCCATTACCTCGTATTCCGTGGTTTGCTGCATGATCCAGTCGGCCACAATCAAAGAGGTCATCGGTGATAGTAGGCGGCAACCTTGTAGTATTCTTTCCTGTCCTCGCCTCCAAGGGCGTCACTAGGCTTTCTGTTGTGGATCGCCTGGCATGTGGCGTCATCACATAGTTGTTGAATGAGGTTGATAAAGGTTTGTGGTACTCCATAGTGTTAATGCAGCTGCCAAATTACTTCTCGGTCGACGCTGTCTTAGGGTTTTTTTAATTCGCTGAAGTTGAAGCGGAGAGTTTACTGCCATTCCACGTTCTGTTGTATGATGATGCGTGGCGTGGAGCTGCAATTTGATCCCACATGTTCTTTACTTCCTGAAGCTAGCCTGTTTGAGTCGAAGTTCTGAATCCAGCGCATTGTTTAGTCTCTTCAGGCTGATGCAGCTTAATATTTTGCTTGGGGTGGACAGGGGCGTTATTCCGCGTCCGTACTCGCAAAGATTTAAGTCGCCGTACCTAAGGAGTTTGAAAAGATAGCCCTCCTTCCACTCAATCGGTGGGTACCTTTCCTCCCCTCCGAACCTTCTACAATAGTGGTGCGAGCATGCTCGCTGTTGTCTCTGCGTCTGTTTTCAGTACTTCTGGTAAAGTTCCTTCTGGTGGTATTTCCGGACGATTAGCGGGTGGCGATGGTGGTAGTCGTGGTCGATTCAAGAGTTTTTTGAAGAGGTCGGCCCACTGTTTCCTTGGTTTCTACTCTTTTGAAACTAGCTTTCCCTCACAATCTTTCGTTGGTTACATCTGCGTTGATCTGTCCCCGGATAGTAACCTGGTCGTTTGATAT